CGTGCCCTCTTACCGCCCCCCCCAACACCCCAATAAAGACTGATTGAACCCGGGCTGCGGGGGGCCTCTTGGGGGCCCCTTTTCTGGGCTGCCTGGCCGGGGTGCGTCTAACTGGGAGCACCCAGCTGGGCACACCAGGCTGGGGAGGTGAAGTGACTCCCCCAGCCAGTGACAGGCCCAGCAGGAGGGCGAGGCCAGCCCAGAAACTCACCCTTTTTCCACTGCCCACGGCCAAACTTCTGATTGATGGTGGCTGTAATTTCATCAGGCCTCGGCCCCAGGGGCCACGGTGGTGGCCTCCAAGCTTTCTGGAACAGAATCTGCCGATCTGCCTGGTTGGTGGCTGCTGGAGGCTCCAGGCTTGCTGCCTGCTCTGTGTGCTTCCGGGCCCCAGAGGCCCCCCCCCCCCCCCCCCCACAGTGCGGCCACGCTGGAGTCTGTCCTCTCAATGCCTATGGCCCAAGGGGAGAGTCCCTGTCTCCAGGAGAGCTAGCACAGCCTCCTGGGGGCTGAGGCTGGAGTGTGGGCAACCCGTAGTCATCCTGGAATGTTCTAGAATGTTCTGGAATGAGGGTGTTAAACTTACCCTCCTCAGAGTTGGAGGGAATCTTGGCAGTGACCCAGTCCACCTCTCCCCTTTAACAGATGGGGAAACTGAGGCCCAGAGAGGGGAAGGAACTTGCCTAGGGGTACACAGACTGCACCCCGAAATGACCTGTGTCTCTGCTGAATGATTGTTGGGAGTCTCCCCGCAGCATCAGGGAATCTGATAGTTTTACTATAAAATGGGGAGGACAGCAAGATTCATTTCCTGTGGTCCCAGCCTTGCTCCGGCTCTTGCTCCCCTCCCCCTAGTGCTCTCTGCCACCCTAGAACCTGGCTTCCCCCAGCACAAGTATCTAGCTTATGGGTACCACCCCTCTGCAGTCGCCTGTCTCTAGCCTTCACCCACCCAGGGGTATTTCCATAGGAGCCTTTCTGAGGGCATTGCCTTAGAGTAGCTCTAACATGGGATCTTTAGATACAACGAGGGCGTTTTGGGGGCCCGAGTGACCTTGGTCCAGGCCCTGAATGCTAGACATGGTTCCATGGCTTTTCCTCTGATTCATGAGATACAATGAGTGACGTTGGTCCAGACCCTATGCCTCCCTGGGCCTCAGCATCCCTACTGTAAGGGGGTGGGCTGGACATTTGGAGGTTTCTCAGCACCGTATCCAGCCCTGTTTGCCAGTAGGAGCAGCTGGGTCCCCAGGCCAGGGCCGTCTGCTTCTTCCCTCCTTGGGGCGGGGGTAGGGCAGGTACCGGGGAAAGCACAGTGGGGAGAAGGCGAACAGCTGTGGGCGCCATTGTGTGGCATGTGATGAGCAGGGACCGGAGGAGGATTTGTCACAGAGTCTTCTGTGTCTTTAGTCCCTGGCTGTCTTCCTGGGGAGGGACAGGAGGAGTTGGGCTGCATTTGCCTTTGGGGGATGGTGTGGTGAGGAGGGGATTTAGTGGGCAAGGGGACAGTGAGCCAGCTGTGCCATAGCTGAGCATGGGAAGCTCAGGAATAAATGTCCCCTCCCCTCTCTTCCCTACTTCCTCTCTTCTCCCTTTCTTTTCTTCTCTTCCCCTTTCTTTTAAAAATATTTTTATTGATTTTTTTACAGAAAGGAAGGGAGAGGGATAGAGAGTTAGAAACTTCGATCAGCTGCCTCCTGCACACCCTGTACTGGGGATGTGCCCACAACCAAGGTACATGCCTTTGACCAGAATCGAAGCTGGGACCCTGCAGTCTGCAGGCTGACACCCTATCCACTGAGCCAAACTGGTTAGGGCTCCTGCCCTTTCTGTACTTGGCCCAGTTAACTTAGCCTGGGTACCTACACGTGGTAGAAGTCATAGTGAACAATCGAATGAATGAATGAATGAATGAATGAAAGAAATGAAGAGGCCTGGCCCAAGAGTTGGGCAGACCTAGGTTTGGATCCTGCCCCCGCCAATGTTTGGCTGGGTGATCTTGAGCAGATGACTTAATGCCTCTGAACTTCAGTTTCCTCATCTGTAAACTAAAATGGTACGTCATAGAGCTGTGAGGGGCAAACGAGGTGAATCAACAGAAAGACCTAGAATCATGTCTGACAGGTAGGACTCCCTAAATCCTAACTTCTGGTTATTTGCACTAAACATAGGATGATTGGGTCACCCTCTAACCGTGCACTTCAGCATACATCTACTGAGCAGCTGGCATGTGCCGAGCACTGCTGAGGCCCAGGCTCTTCTCTCAGGTTGCTTATATCGATAGTTTGATGGACACACAGCCTTGAAATATCACCGAGAGAGCTCCTAACAGCTGTTACTGAGAGCACAAAGGGCTGTGGGAAAGGTCCTCTCTGCCCTGGGCTGCAGGTCAGGGAAGGCTTCCTGGAGGAGGTGTTTCCCTGGGTAAACGTCCAATAGCTGCTGTAGATCACACAGTCGGGTGGAGGAGACAGAGCTCTCTTTGGGGTCCCCCTGGTCTAATGGAGGAGATAAGATCTGTGGCTTGGGAGAGACCCCATTAAGAAGATGCTGCTAATAAAAGGCCTAAGAAAGCTTCCTTAAGAAGTGGGCTTGCAGGTAATTTGGAGAAGGAGCGGGTACTAATATGGTGGAGGGGAGGAGGAGTGGGTAGAGCAGGAAAAGGACTACGTAGTCACCCTCTCCTTTCCAGTCCCAGGTGAGCTAGCTCGGTGTCCAGACACACAGGTGAATACGTGACCAGCACAGCCTTTCAGTGGGCTAACCAGCCATCACGAATTACCCACTTTTAGCCGAGAAAAAAGACTGTTGCCAGGGAACAGAAATAGCTTCCAAAGCCTCCCTTCATTCCTGCTGCCCCGCTTTCCCCAAATGTCTCAGCCAGCCCTGGGCCTGGAAGGCAATGCATGCCCACAGCGCTCTCTGCTGGACGATAGCAGAACAGCAGGGGAGGGTCTGCGTGTGAAGGCATTTGTGCAAACAGCCCCTGGGTTCCTGCTCTGGGGAAGCCCCAGATGCTGCAGCCAGAGAGGAACTGGTCAGTGCCTGCTGGGTCCATCTCTGCAACCTGGGGGACCTCGGAGCTTCCGGGTAGTGTAGGGGATAGTTAGTTCTGCTTGGGGGAGCTGAGGGAGCCATCCATCATAGACAACGTCCCTCCCCCAGATATGATCGGGGCCTTAGGAGCTGGAGTAACAACATCCTGAGTCCCCAGACCCCCCCATGCCCAGGCTAGGAGGGGATGCCTCCTAGCAGTTACCCGTGTCTCATTATATCAATGGGAGCACATTTCCCTTTCTCCCTCCAACCCTGGACCTGGGGTGGCTGGACTTTGGGTGGGTGGCCTGCATGCTCCTGAAAGGATGCATGGTTGGCAGATTCTAGGTGATGCTCAAGGGGGGGACAACTGCTGCTGGGGGGGGGGGGCAGACCCAGAGAGCCGCAGAGCAAGGACTCAGCTCCCCATTTCAGACCAGGGTAAAGATTAATTGCGCCAAGGGCCAGCCGTGACTTGGAGGGGACTGACCACCAGAGGACAGAGGTGCAGGAGGCCCAGAGACCCAAACCACTGGGATCACCTCATTCGCTCCTTCTAGAGAGTTCCCAGTGTGGAGTCCCTGCTTTTCTGAGTTATGTTTTGCATCGTGTGAAGGTCTAAAGAGCCACATGTGGCTCCTGAGCTGAGGTTTGCTGACCACTGGTCTAGGAGACCCTTATTGCCATCCCAGCAGGACACACACACACACACACACACACACGGCTTTTACAGGATGCATGATGGGAGAGGAGAACAAAGAAGCGAGCTTCTTACAAAAGTGGAGGTAGTACCAGCTCATGTACATCAGTGAGGTGTCAAAAGGACCTCAGGTCCTCCTGCAGCCCAGAGCTGTGTGTGTGTGTGTGTGTGTGTGTGTGTGTGTGTTTGTGTGTGGAGGGAGCGCTGAGGGAAGGGGTCAGAGAAAGGACTTGTCCATCTCATTGAAAGCCATCACCAGCGAAGATCACCCACGAGGGGCCATGCCTGCGACTGCATCTTCAATGTGACCTTTTAGTCTCAGTCTCCTGGCTCCCGAAGGATCCCCATCAATTCCTATCCGAGGTAATGCTCTCGGCCTGTGGGGATTCCTATCTCAGCCAGCTGTTCTCCCCGAAGGCTGCAAAGCGCTGATTGATTTGGAGGAAACAAGGTAAGCCACTGAAGGATTTCCAGATGAGTCTGCTGTTTGATTTTGGGATCAGCGTGTGTGGGCTCGGAGGCAAGCCGGGGACTGGCGGTGATTTGCACATAAACGTACTCTGTGATCACTAATTGCTTCTGAGAAAAATCCGAGCCGTGGGAGGCAGCTCCGCCAAGACACGGGAGCACGTGCTGCCGGGGCCATGCTGCCCCCTCGGCTCATTTCCCCTCTCCCCCCGGCACACGGGCTGGCCACCTGCCAGCCCCTGGGAGTCTCTGCCCCGGCTTTCTCCAGCTCAGGGCCAGCTTGGCTGCTGCACCGCTGGTGGCAGGCCGGAGCGCCCTGGAATGAATGGCCTGGGTGACCCTCACCCAGGGACTGAGTGGAATGGCATTCCCCACCCCCATTCCTTCCCAGGGAGCTCCCCAGGGATGGAAGTGCACCCTCCTGTAGTGACTTGCTAGCGACACGCCCTTTATCGGTGTCCCTCCTGTCGCTGTGCCACTGCCTCACTTGCCTTGGAGCATTTCCTGTGTCACACAACACACCATCGGCACCGAATCCTTATCTCAGGCTCTGCTTCTGGGGGAACCCCTGTGACCAGCTTGTCCCGGTTTCCACCGGATCGCCCCAGTTTTAAAACTGGAAAGTGCCACATCCTGGGACCTCCCTACCTCAGTCCCAGTCAGAGTGGGACCGTTGGTCGCCCTGGGGAAATCCAAACCAAGTCAGGGGTGACCCCCTAGGCAAGCCGATGGCCGGACCACGCATCTAAAGTCCAGCCCAAGCCCTGAGAACAGAAGAGCAGACACACGAGAAATGTAATGTTGTCACGTCATCACGTTCCACAGGTTTTATGAGCTAAAAGCCTACACGAGAACAGTAGCCACCACTGGCAGATAAGCCATTCCTCTGAGGACAGACACACTCACACGGCCCGGGAATGCGATTTGCCAGTTCTCAGTGGATATCAGGTGGCTGATGGGCAGGACTTCCATGACGCCCACCCAGCTGGCCACCGGGCAGACAGGCAAGGTTATTCCAAGAACAAGGGTCACAGGCACCAGGGGGACATTACGGGTGAGCAGGCGAGGGGACGGGGCAGCGCATTGTAGGCACTTGAGGCTTCGAGGGGACAAGCACCGGCCATGCCACTCGAGCCAAAGCCCCTGGGCAAACAGAGAAACGGCACTGCGTGCGTCCCCACCGGCGGCCACGTGGAGACGAGGCGCGTTGCCTTGGGATGCGGTGAGAAGCTCAAGACGGCCGGTTCCGGCCGGTTCCAGCCGAGGAGGTCTGCAGCATGAACAGGAGAAAGCCTGCTTTGTCAGGGAACCCGGGAGATAGTGCTGCTCCGAGGCTTAGGCCACCAGGCTGGGGCCGGCCGAGTACGGGTTCAGGGAGCCTCATTGTAGGGGCTGGGGCCTGGCCAGGAGATGCCGCTGAGCTCCTGGCCTCAGGAGAGACCTCTGCCAAGCGAGCGAGCAGATTACCCCGCTGCAGAGGGCTGCCCAGGCCCCTGCCTCGCTGATTTGTACACTGGGCCACGGAGCGAGCTACAGCCCCGGAAGGCGCCCGTTCTTTTTTTGTTTTCTCTAGACCCTGCTAGAGAAGTGGGGAAAGGATCGATCTCCCAGTTGCCATGGCAATGAACACACGGCCCATTCCCCGGGTAGCACTGCCCCTCTCTCTCTAACCCTTCCCCGGGCTCTCAGGTTAAGAAATGATTTGGGTCTGGGGGCCACTCGGAGACAGTCCAATATGCTGTACCAGAGGCAGAATCTGGGCTCGGCCATGGTGGGTGCTGGAGTGTCCCACAGGTTCCAGGCAGGGGCACAGGGCAGCCCGTCACCAGAGGTGCTCCTCTGCACCTTTGGGTGCTGGCCGGGACAGCCAGGGAGAGCGGAGGTCAGCAACTTGCTTGTGCATCAAAGGTGTCCAGCCCTCCAGCTGCTGCTACCGGGGCAGGGTCTGAGGATGCTCCCTGTGAAGCGGGTGGCGTGCTCTTGGCCTTGCTGGGTCTCTCGGTTGCTCCTTCCAGGTGTCTCATTCCATCCTGGGCAGATGCCGGGCCATCCTAAGCCCCTAGTCATTGTCCACACTGAGCCCTGACACCAGAATCAGGTTAATCGGGAGACTGGACAGCCCGGTCCCACCTGCTTGCGTTAGAGGAGGAAAGAGGCCCAGAAAGCAGAGGTGACTTGTTCAAGGTCACCCAGACAATTGGAGCAAGTCCATGGTCACTAAGAGGAAACAAATCCAGAGGCCGGGAATCTGGGAAAGTCAGAGCAGGGGGAAGCCCCGGCTCCAGGGCACCCAGAGATGCCACTTGCCCAAACTAGTGCCAGGCGCGTTAACCATCTGCCTGACAACCTTTCCATCAATGGATGCCATGGTCCTCCCTCCTTCCTCTGGGCGGGGCTGCTGCTGCACAGCTGCAGTGTTATTTTGGTGATGGTGGTGGGCGGCAGGAGGTGGTGGGGTGGGCGGACAATACTGTCCTCACACCTGCTCGAGGCCTTGAGCAAGACAGCCTACAGCCCTTACCCGTCTGGGTGGCGCTGACACTGAGCCAACATCCCCTTCTGGCATCAGGTCCCGCCTGGGGTGGTGGTTGCCACTGGTTAGTGGCTGCCCAGAGGGTGAGAACGGAACAGTGAGCCAAGCAGCTGGCGGGATTTATATTAAGCCTCCAGCCCCGCCCCCTCCCTTGGGGATGGAGCCCAGCTTTCTGTGAGGGCCTCAGGGGCTGGTGCAGAGAGGCGCCTGGGAGATGTTGCAGCTCAGTAGGAGGTCAGGGAGGGCTCTTCCTGGGGTGGGGGCTGTGTGGGGTACCACTTCCTGTTAGGGCTGCCTTTTCTCCAGCCTGGTGGGTGCTGGGCCCCTGGGCCCCCTCAGCTCCTGCTGAAGACGGGGATTTCTGAGTCTTCCCGAGGCTGAGATGGCGCCGGAGTCAACGTGCTTCATGGGTCTGGGGCCCTCCGAGTATCTAGGAAGCGGGAAGCTTGTGCCAAGGCCGTGGGGCCTGGCAGGGCCACTTGATGAGGCGAGGTTAAGGCCTTGGAGAGGGGTGTGCGCGTGGGGTGTGCGGACTCAGCCCGGGGCGCCAAGCTGGTGGGCTTCCTTGGTGAGGTCCGGACCTGCCTCCAGGGGAGCCTGTTGGGGCAGAGATCGCTGGGCCAAGAGGGAATCTGAGGCTGCAACGCAGATGTCACCACATGGCATAACCTGGGGGGCCCGAGAGCAAGTCCCCAGGGCCTCTCTGCCTGGAAGCTTCAGAAGTCTTTCATTTCATTGAATATGTCACGTCTCCTGGCTGGAGCTGCTGCCCAGAATGCGCTGCAGCCAAGCACGGTTTCCTGTTGCAAAGAAGGCCCCTGTCCCCCACACTGTGACACCCCGTCCCAGAATGCAGCGGGCACAGGGTGCCTCTCTAGCCCCTCAGCACGGATGGGTGGAGATTGCACTATGTACTTCCTGACAGTGTGTAAATTACTCAAGTGCTGTCTGGTCTCTCCTCTGACTCCTCTGACTACATCTGTTCTTTGGGACTGTTTTTGCACAGACCTCCGCTTCATTCTCCACCCCAGCTTGCACGGTGTCTCCCCTTACCCTGCACACCAGCTTTTCTTAGCTAGGAAGTCACACGTCAATACTAAAACACACGGAGGTCTTCTAGGCGGAGGAAAAGGCCCCGGTGGCTCCTCTACCCAGTGTTGGGGAGCATGGTCCTCAAGTGGGTTTGTAAGCGTGATTGAGGGGTCCTGGGCTGTCACCATGGAGACAAGTGCCTATCCCACAATGCAGCAGGCAGAGGTGGTCTCTCCTGCCTCGCTATAAGCTTGTACATCTGGTTACTTGCAGTTTTGGGGTTTGCTCATTCATCCTTTTATTTGAGGGGACACTAGCCACTGGGTTCCTCTTGGGGGAACCCAGGCTTAAGCTGTGCTCCCTCTCCACCCCCAGCGGCAGTAACCCCACAACAGCCCACAGTCCAGGCAGAAAGGAACCTTTGACCCTTCTAGAGATCTAGTCCAACCTCACCTCACCCACTGATCTTACAGGGAGGGAAACTGAGGCTCAGACGGGGGCTACTGTCTGGCCTTCAGTTGCACAGCCAGGTGGTAGCAAAGTTGGGATTGAATTCAGACCTCCTGATCGCTAGTCCGGGGTTCTTTCTAGCAACCAATATATTACAGCTTCCAAAGCTCCCCCACCAAGGCCACGGGGTCCTCTCCCCACCCTTCCCTGCCCCAGCACCCCACCCCCTACACATAATTCGGGTTATAGCAGAGCATATTGAACTCCAGGCTCTCGTCCCAGTGCCGCAGGAGCACAAACAGCTGCAGGGCGGCGGCCTTGAGCGTGCCCCGCGTCAGGTTCTCAGGCACCTCCTGCTGCTCCAGCCACGCGCTGGCCTTGGCAGCCACCAGCTCCCACTCCACGAAGTAGGATGCCGAGCTGTGCTCCAGCCACGCCAGGGCCACCACCGTGGCCCACAGCTTCCCCGCTTGGAGCTCCCAGCCTGCCTTGTCCCCGGCCAGCGTCTCCTCGGAGAAGGTGTCACACACGGGGTGCTGAGATGCGGGGCTGCTCTTAGCCTGGGGCTGGCGGGCTGGGAGGGACAGTCGGTGGCAGCTGAAGGGCGAGGTCCACTTGAGCTTGTCCATGGGGATGTGGATGGCCTCGCAGAAGGCTTGGTTCATCAGGAAGGCGCCGGAGGCCAGCTGCAGAGACACCTGTGGGTGGGGGAGCCCCTCAACGTTTTCAACCGGTGGAGCCCCAGGCCATGCAAAAGTCTGGGTCCACACAGCCCACCATTCACTTCTCCAGCTTGACCCCCCTCCTGGGGGATCTGTGAGGCACCCAGGCCCACTGAGCAGCCCTCTCTTTTATCCCACAGGCACTCCACACCCAACCGTTCTTCACTCCTATCCTGCCTCAGGCCCATCATGGCCCCTGAGACCATACCCAGCCATGAAGCAGGCTCTGGGCTCACCTCCCTCTTCCACACTCCGAGCCAATCAGTTTCCGAGTGCCAACACGTCTGCTCTCTAAACCTCTCTGGAGTCCACCATCTGCCTCCCCGTGTTGTCTCTGCCTCTGCTTTCTTTCTCTGTCCCCACCCCCTCATCTTTCCAGCGCCCTGCGGGGTCTTTGTAAAGCACAGATCGCATCACTCTCTGGAGGCCATCGGTTCAGTGGCGTCAGTTTTCTCTTAGAATAAGTCCCAACCATGATTTCCAAACTGCTGGTTCGTCCCTGTCTCTCCTCTCTAGGCCTCCAGCTATCACTCCGCGGCCTTCAGGCCTCGGCTTGACCTTTATGCTCCTCCAGACCGTAAGCCTGGAGAAGGTGCCCCACCTGCCTTGCTCTGCCCACCAACCCGGCTCTCCTATCGCAGCGCCCCAGGAGCAGCATTGCCTGGCTCCTGTCTGTGTCCCCACGACAGTGCCACGAGCTCAGGGACTCTGCTCTCTAGTGCAAGGCTGTCTCCCAGGGCCTAGCACTGCGCCTGGCGTAAACCCGCGCACAGTGCTCTGCTGCCCGGGATGCTGGAAAGGCTCCTTGCACTCGGGTGTGCGAGAACTGGGGCTGCACAGTGAGACTCCAACAGGTCCCTTTTTCCAGCACCGCCGCTGCCCACGCCCCCTGCCTCCCCTCACCAGGTGGCAGGCCACGCCCCCTGGCTCCTCAATGCAGAGCTGGGCTTCCCCCACTGCCCATCGTGCTGGGCGTCTGCAAAGCCACTCGCCAAACACAGCGCATGCCTGTGGGGTGTGCATTTTACTCACCTGAGGGTCCTTTCAAGGCTTATGTTTATGCATTGAAAAGCAGACACGTGTAGATGGTGGGGCAGAATGTACAATTCCCGGGAATTTTTCAGAAGGCAGCAGATTGCAAAGATGATGCTGCCGCTAGCTTTTAGCAACATTCCTAGGCCCTGGGTGGGTGGGTGTGGGGGGGGTCTCATGCAGACAGACCCCTCTGCCCTGCTGACTATGTGGGTGCAAGGTCTGGGTTTTGTTCCCTTGTGAGGGGGAGGGGAGGGCTGGAAGGCGGCTCCTGGGCAGGCCCTCTGTGAAACAGCCGGCGTCTGGGGCACTCACCAGTGGGATATAGTCGAAGCTTGGGCTCCCAGGCGGCGTGGACTCCGGCGACTTGGTCAGCGGCTTGCCCAGGAAGCCCCTGGCGGCTTTGGTCAGCAGCCTGGACTTCTTGAGAGTCAGCCTGTAGGGTGGAGGCAGGGAAGAGTGGCTACAGTCCCTTTCCCTCCGCTGGTGTCCCTGGTCATCCCACCCTGAGGCCCTCTGTGAATGAGAAACCACCTGGATGAGGACTAGGCTATTTGTTTTAGGACCGCCTTTTAGCCCCGTGGTCAGCGCGTCCCAGGCTGGCCCTCCCAGGGGTTGGGTTTGCAGAGACCACACTGTGGGAGCTGAGCCACAAAGGTGGGGCTTTCTGCATGGGGTACCCGGAGGACAGGGATATCCCTGGGCTGGCTGGTTTGGATTGTTCATTTTGGTCCAAATGTCAGGCTGGGCCTGCCTTTGGCCTTCCGAGCCAGGGAGAGCCCCTGGAAGACGGGGTGTGGGAGAGGGTACCCCAATGGAAACCCCACGTACCTGGTTCCAAACAGGGTCTCCGAGGTCTTCAGGGAAGACAGGGTGTTGGTGGCCAGCCCGTGCAGGGGACCTGGAGAGCCACACACACAGGGACAGCTGTTGACTGACAGAGGACCTTGTCCAACTGCTCCCTGCCCAGCGGGGGAAGTTGAGGCCCGGAGAGGGGCAGGGGCTTGCCTGTGTCCCTAGGGATCTAGATGAATGTCAGGCTGCTTTCTGTGGATGACCCAGCAGGCATGGGGAGGGGCGAAATATATGGGCCCACGTGTAAGAAACAGGCCTTCCAGTGGCCTGGGCAGGTGGCCCCTGACATCTTCTGGAAGGTTCCCTGCTGGGGCAGTGACAGCCTCATGTTAAACCCTCTTGTCTCCTGATGGGGACATTGGTTTTCCTTTCCTGGCACTTTGCTAGAGGATTCTGGGCAGAGGGAGGTGGTGGAACGGTCAGCGACACCTGGCTTCCTCACTGACGTGCTGTGTGACCGTGGGCAAGTCACTTTACTTCTCTGAGTCTCCGTTTCCTAGCCTTTAAGTTGGGGAATTTTCCTATTCATCTCGCACAGGGTTGCGCTGAGGAATACATGAGGAATTCGTTGGGCGAAGACACTCTCTTGGCCCGAGGTTCAACCACGACCACTGCCTTCTTTAAGGGGAGAGCTGGGGGATGGTCCACATACCCTCAGAGGCAGCGTGCTTCTCTCCGCCCGGGGATGTGGCGTTGCTGGAGGGCACAGAGGGGCTTTCCTCCCCATCTGCAACAGAAGGGCGCAGTGAGGCCTGGCCCCCTGGCTTCCCCCCTTTCCCCCCTTCCCCTCCCCCTGCTGCCAGGAGAGTGATGGCTGAATTCACAGAAGCTGGTGGGCTAGAGAGCAAGGTCAAGTGTTCCATCCCTAGTTGGAGGGGCCTTTGTCTTCAAGGTACCACCAGTGCTCTGCTGTCAGTCAAAATGCCTGGGTTCCAATCCCAGCTCCCCCACTGACTAGCTGTGTGACCCTGGCAAAGGGACTTCCTTCCTAAGTTTTGATTGCAAATTAGGGGTAAGAGTATCTGTCCCACAGCAGTAGAAGGATTCCGTGAGATAATACACAGCTAGTGCTTAGTGCTTGGCTCATAGTAAGTGCTCAATAAAACCCTGAGCTACAGACCCACCAGGGGAGCAGGAGCAGGTCAGGGGCTGAGGGTGGGAGTTGGGGGTTTGGGGAGAAGAAGGCACGAAGCACCAGGCCTGTGTCTCATTGAGGAGGATCTCATGCCTGCTCTCTAGGAGGCACCAGAACATGGCTCTGAGCCTCAGTTTCCCCATCTGTAAAATGGGGGTGATAATGATACATAGTTTGTTCAAAATGTGTAATCAGGGTGGTTATTCTTAGGATCATTATTTCAAGAGATGGAGAGTGATGGGCAGTCCTATATAATAAAGAGCTAATGTGCTAATTTGACCAAACAGCAATCTGGACGACCTTCCGGATGAAGCCGGGGCCGGCCAGAGCCAGCCGAGGCAGCCGGGGCTGTGAGGGACGAGCCCCTTGCACAAATTTGGGCCTCTCGTATACTATAAAAGAATAAACCAAATCATGGAAAAAGCTTCACGCACAAAGGTGTCCATCAGAGCCGCTGGTCCCTTGTGAGACTGTCAGGACTCCATGAGGGCCAACAAGCTGTTTGTCACTGGGTGCTCGGGTGGAGTGGGGCAGCATGGGAGTGAACTAGTGACTGAGGCAACCAGGAGGCTATTAGCCTGGTGGTTAAACTCCCGGGTTCTGGGGCCAGAGTTCAAGTCTTGGCTCTCCCTTATATCAGCTGTGTGATCTTGACTAAGTCACTTAACCTCTCTGAGCCACAGTTTTCTCATCTCTTAATGGGGGCAATAAAAGAAACCAACTCAGATGAGTATGAGGAGCCATGGATAATTGGGACAGTGCTCAGCACACAGGAAACTCTCAGTACGTGTTAGCGACTGTCACCCTTGGGGACGGAACGTGTTTGGGAGAGAGGAACAGCCTAGAAATCATAGGCACTTGGATCTGAATCAGAGGACAATTGAAAAGAAGGGATTTCGCCCAGCTGGAGTGGCCCAATGGTTGAGCATTGACTTGTGAACCAGAAGGTCACAGTTCAATTCCAGGTCAGAGCACACGCCTGGGTTGTGGGCTCGATTCCCAGTGTGGGGTGTGCAGGAGGCAGTCGACTGATGATTCTCTCATCATCACTGATGTTTCTATCTCTCTCTGCCTCTCCCTTCCTCTCTGAAATAATAATAAAAAATGTTTTAAAAAAAGAAAAGAGGAGAAGGGAGTCGTGATTTTGATGGAATTCATGGGCCACCGCCATGGAGAGAGAAAGACATTTCCTCTAGACCGGAGGCTCAGCATGGCGCAGGGAAGAGCAGGTTTCCGGTTTTGGAGGCTCTTTAATTCTGAAGAGCTCCTCCACCCCCTCACCCACTGCTCCCTTTTGAACCCGCCAATGTCTGTGAGAACTTTCTAACCCTCGGGTTAAACATAAATTACGATCTGAGCGTCCAGGCTTGTGGACAGGCGAGCCCTCCACTGCCCTTGTCCCTGTGCACAGAGCAGATCTTCGCTGCACACCCGAGGGCGGGAGGAAAGGGGTTGGGACTAGTGCAGCCGCGAGGCTGTCTAGACTCGTAGGGGTGTCGAACTCAATCAGAGAAGGGGCCAAAATCTAAAATCCAGCCTAAATCGCGGGCCGAATGGTTTACTGAACAGCCATAAACTGTCATTGTGATGGAAACGCAGCGGAGTGCAGTGATGACAGCGCGGTGCGGGCCACATTGCAAGGCCTGGCGGGACGGATTTGGCCCGCGGGCCTTGTGTTTGACACATGTGGTAGAGGGACAGGAAGACAGGCATTCAGGACACAGAGAGGTGAAGCCTCCTGCGAATGAGTACAAAGACGCAAAGAGGCCAAATCACACATCTTCAAGGACCAAGCTGCAGGCTCAACGCAATCAGGGGAAGGCGGGAAGGAAGTGTTTGGGAATCCTGAAAGAGGCAGATGGTAGGACCCAATCGGATGGACCTGCCTCTTTGCTCCCCGCTTTCCCTTATTTATCAGGTTTTCTGGCATCTGAGCCTGGGAGGACTCAGAGGTTGAAAGCAGGGGATAGTCACCGGGGTCGGCGGACCTTCAGAGGGGAGAGGCGAAGGGATGGTGTCGGCACATGGGCAGGGTGGCCATGCTGCAGCCCTCCGCCCACCTCAGGCCTCAGAGAGCTCGGGAGCCCTGGCCTCCCCCTGGTCCTGCAAGGGCCCAAAGTACAGACTCCGAGGGAGGCCTCCAGGGTCTTGGGCAGGAGGATGCCATGACTCAGGAGCTCAGGACCCAGAACCCACCCAGGTGGCTCTTACTTAGGTTCTGAAATTTGCCAGATCCTGCTGCCGAGTCTTCCTTAAGCATGCTCTGCGACCGACTGAAGCCAGCGGGGCTGCCTCTCCACTGTTGTTGGCTCAGGGCCCGGGAGTTGGCCATCCGAAGTGCAGCACCTTGGTGAGGACAGGAGAAGGGGTCAGGTGGGTACAACTGTGCCAGTCCTTTGCCTCCTTCCCAAGCTGGCAGGAAGGATCTTGGCTTCAGTCTGTCAATGATCCAAAGACAGGGAGGCATTGTACAAGGCGAGACCATGGGTGTTGGAGCCAGAATGACCTGGGTTTGAACCCCAGCCCCATCGTTTGATGGCTAGATGGCGTGCTAACACGCTGAGCCTCAATTTCCAGATCTGGAAAATGGGGATAATAATACTGACCTTAATAGTACTACTGCTTAGAGACAATGTTCCAGAAGCAGCAATGTTTTTTAGTTAGTCTAAAGGCTGGGTTTCTCACGAACACCCCGTTTCCTTTCATTCCCAGTTTGCTGTCCCATGCCCCCTGCCACAGGCAGTCCCCGGCAGTCCCAGGGCATCACCAGTGGGGGATGGGTGGAAGAGAGATGAAACTACACCACCTAAGTGTGTTTTGGGGAACCCACTCTATGGGAGCACTAGTCTGTAAGTAATTCCTTTAAAAAGCAAAGAGTTGCCGAGGCCGGTTTAGCTCATTGGTGGAGCGTTGGTCTGTGGACTGAAAGGTCCCAGGTTCGATTCAGGTCAAGGGCATGTATGTTGGTTGCGGGCACATCCCCAGTAGGAGGTGTGCAAGAGGCAGCTGGTCGCTGTTTCTTTCTCATCGATGTTTCTAGCTCTCTATCCCTCTCTCTTCTTCTCTGTAAAAAATCAATAAAAAATATTAAAAAAAGAGAAGAGTTCTCTTGAGCAATACATTTTGAAGAAGCTGCATACTATGGTCCATCCTCTGAGCCTCCTGATGTATAGTAACATCCCCAAGGCCCCAAGAACCTCCGCTGTGAAGAAAGCTCTGGAGCTTTATTTAGTTCAGTGTTTCCTGAACTGGTATTTAGTTCAGTTTCTTCCTCATCTGGTATTTTTTATTTAAAAATTTTTTTTTTAATTGATTTATATATAGAGAGGAAAGCAGGAGGAGAAAGAGAATGAAACATCAATGTAAGAGCAAAACTCTATTGGGGTCTGAGCCCACAACCTGGGCATATGCCCTTACTGGGACTCAAACTGGCAGCCTTTCGGTACATGGGGTAATGTCCAACCAACTGGCCTACACTGGCCAGGGCTGGTATTTCTTTTTTTGTGTTGATTGGCCATTGATGGGATGGGGAACTAGTGTTCTAGTTTCCAGGATCACACTTTGGGAAGTGCCGATCAGACCTTGGGGGATGGCGGGATGGTCTCCATATGCCCAGACTGTGGCTACAGATGCCAGGAGGATGGTCAGAGGTGGGTGGGAGGGACAGACATCTTGAATAAGCATGTCATTCAGGATGACAAGGCCCAGTGAATAAGAATGGCCGGTGGAGCAACAGCCTGGCTGCTGGCCAGAGCCTGAGCGGAAAACAATGACTGTAAATGAAAGAGGTGCAGGGCACAGGAGGGAGAAGGAAGGGCACATTTTGTTTCCAAACACAATTCTTTCGGGATGTATGCCAAAAGAAGAAGAAGAAGAAGAAGAAGAAGAAGAAGAAGAAGAAGAAGAAGAAGGAGGAGGAGGAGGAGGAGGAGGAGGAGGAGGAGGAGGAGGAGGAGGAGAAGAAGAAGAAGAAGAAGAAAGAAAGAAACCACAAAGGACAGGAAAAAGTAATTCAGGAAATGAAGAGAACAAATAGTTCACAAACGTGAAAAGCATCTCACACAAAAACTAAAAACGAAAGAAATTCCCCAAAGAGAGTCTTTCCTCACTGTCAGACTGGCAGGGTTTAGAAAGATAAACAACGGTCAGTGTTGGCAAGAGTGGGCATCGGAATAACTTTTGGGGCTGGGCGGGTTTGGTAGCATCCAGCACAGTTTTAAATGGACAACCTCGATATGCCACCTGACTTCTGAGAGTTAATGAACCCTGAACAGACAACCAGACAGGTGCATGAAGATGTTCTTTGCAGCATCATTTACAACAGCGTTTTTCAACCGCTGTTCCGCGGCACAGATGTTGCCTGGTGTGCCGTAGGTGCAGACAAGACAAGAATTTTATAATTTTTCACTATTTTGTTTACTTAATATTTCATAATAAAGTAATTATAAAATACTTTCTTTGTGTTTATTTGATTCCTATTCAAGAGAATTACTTTATATATAGTCAATATAGGCACAGAGTTAAATTTTTTAACATTTTCTAATGGTGGTGTGCCTCGTGATTTTTTTCATGAAACAAGTGTGCCTTTGCCCAAAAAAGGTTGAAAAACACTGATTTACAATAACCACAAAGGGAACAAACGGAAGGTCTAATAATGGGGGGCTGGCTCAGTAGGTTCTGATAAACTTTAAGAGGCAGTTGGAGAGGAGCGGTGAGAGCAGAGACTCTGGAGCCAGATGCCTGGGGTTCAAAGCCTGTCTCTGCCCCTTACTACCATGTGACCTTGGACAAGTTACTTACCCCCCTCTGCCTCTGTTTCCCCATCTTTAAAATAGGGGTAATGGTATCTACCTTGCAGAGTTGGTCTGAGGGTCAAAGGATTATATTCATATATCCATCCATCCCATATCTATATGTCCATCCATCACTGTCAAATTGACTATTACAATTAGTATCTTCCCACAGCAGGATACACTGATTCACCTTCACACCCATATTTCGTAAGGTACAGCACACATTGATATGATCCAGTTCATACAGAATTATGTTTTTTTGATTTCTCTATGGATATATCCATAGAGAGAAGCCTGGAAGGGTGGTCACCACGGAGGTAATCAGAACTCATCTCTGGATGACTGTCACTTCTAGTCACTTCTATTTACTTTCTGTCTTTCTACATTTTGGGATTATCTACAGTTAACCTTGTATTATTGTCTGAACTGGGAAAACTCAGTGAAGCTGTGCTTCTTTGGTGGGAATAAGGGAGGGGGATGGTTTCACAGGCTCTGTGTCCCGTGGTGGCTGCACTATCTGCTTTTGGGGTCTTTATGCTTCTAGGGCCTTCTATGTACCCTACCCTGCAACTCTGCCCCTTTAGGTCCCAGCCACCTCCTCCAGCCCCTGGAGGCTGCCTGGCCTCGCCCCTGCCTTACCGGAGCTGGGGTAGGCCACCACGGTGGGCAGGTACAGCCGCTGGCTCACGTCCACGGGCACATAGGCGGTGTACTTGCTGATGATGTTGCAGGCCTTGCTGGTGTGCACAGCGTTCACCTGGTAGCGGCGGCTGGATCCTGGGGAGGGAGAAGCTGGGGTCACTGTGTGGACCCCACATGGAAGCTCCGGAAGCCAGAGCGAAGGCTGGACCAGTGGTCCCATCTTTAGGATGAAATGAGCCCTTCAAACCAAGGGGTTTCCAACTTGCCAATGAAGGAGATAAAAACCCCCCAAGATTGTTATGCTCCATTATCACTCCATAAAATAAGGGTGTTTTAATGTAAAAGAGGTAAGACATCTAAGAATGAAAAAGACATTACCGCCCTCAAAAATTAGTGTTATTAAAAACAATCAAAGCCATCTGTGTTGTCTGCATTTCCTAGGTTCAGTTCGTAGCTGTCTGCTGAGACTCTTGCTGCAGAGTTATCTTCATAGCATCCTGGCTTAGTGGGGGCACTGGTCTGGCCCATTGGACAGTTTTGCAGAGAAGGTTGGAAACCAGAGAGGGAGAGCGGCAGGCGAGGGGTTACACAGAGAGGTAGTAATGGACTGAGATTGGGACTGAGTGGTCATCTGTTCCCGAAGCCCGAGCTCCTTCCACTCGGCAACTTAGCAGCCCCGGTGGCTTGTCACCTCCAAAAGGCTGTGTGAGGAGCCGAGGACATGCAGAAGGGACATGCTTTGTAAACTGTAAGGTGAAGTGCTCATGGGGAAAAAATAACATATTATATAATGTTAAAATAAAAACCAAACAGAGATCAGCCCTGAAAATTCCCTGAGCAGACAAAACCAGTTTCTTTATACAAACAAAGTTTAATTTAGCTCATTTTGCAAGACTAACATGACCTGGGTCATTTCTTGCTTGTGCCTTTGAGACTTGAACTGTTTCCCAAGGTTAATGTAAGGTAACCGCTGAAAATTCCAACTTTATAACCAGTCACCATGAGGAATTAACTGTCACTGCTTCCTCACTCTATAAACTGCTTTATGATAATACTAGTGGCCTGGTGCACAAAATTTGTGCACGGGGGTGTCCCTAAGCCTGGCCTGCATTCAGGGCCTTCCTTCGTTCTGTGCCATAGCACACGTCACAGCGAGCCATCAAACTTCCAGTCTCCCAGCTGAACTCCTGAGGGGACACTTTACATATTAGCCTTTTATATATATAGATACCCCCGAGCTTCATTCCATGCTAGGATGGGTGCTCTTGATTTACAAACCATCTTTTCGGTGTGTGTGCAATAAGTTTTTTACTAATAACTACTTCAGTGATTCATTGGTTTCACTCCTGTTATTTCTGAAGTGTTCACAACAATACAAATAATATAGAATATAAATCATATTATGTAAACAAAGCATAAATTATAACAAATGATAGAAATATATCTCTATGTGTCTAGTCTTCAAGTGGACTCCATCAGTATCCCAGGACTCACTTGTTTAAAAAAAAAGTTTGCCCCCATTCTTGAGCTAAATGAGCTTCCCCCCCACCCTGGTTCTGCAATCTCCTGTATCCCTGTATTTCTTCTTAACAGCACTTAGGACAAATGTGGTAAATTAATTGTGTTTATACTTGTTTGACTAATGCTGCCTCTCCTGCTAGTCTGTGTCAACACTGGTTACTGTGCTCAGCCCCAAGGCTGTCACCCCCAAACACCCATCCGCATTCAGTAAATGGCCTTGATGAGTGAGTGGGCCAAGTAGGTCCCGGGCAGTGATTCTCAATATGGGGCACACACCCCACAGGGGAGGCAATTTTATTTTTAAGGGGGGCAATTCAAGAATGAATTATTAAGTGAATTTTTTGCATTTCTTATGGTTCTAGGGGCCTCATATGCAGTATATAAGTATAAATTGTGACATGTTTATGCATTTCAGTTCTCTATTATATGTTTTGAAGCTTTGCTATTTTTCATATAATTTCCTATTTATTATTATTATTATTATTATTGTTATTTTTTTTTAAACAATTTGTTAGTGACTCCTTCCTCAGTACTTCAACCGTTCTTTCAGTCTTTTATTTGTCTCTTTCATGGATGCCATGGACTTTGGAAGCTTGTTTAGACCAAGTAATGGCCTTTTGGGCTTCCTCCACGTGAATAGGAGTTCTCTTTTTGAACAATAAGAATTCCATGTCACGGGGTGGGGGTGGGGAGGAATCAGGATTTTAAAGATGCCTAGGCGGGGCGTGGCCAAAAAAAGACCAGCAAACCGCTGGTCTAGTGGGTTCTGCAGGAAGGCAGGTGTGGTCCCAGAGGAGAGGAGCAGGTGGAATAGGGCTGTCCCCCTTGTTCTGCCTTGGAGGGCGCTGTGGGGAGAAGGTTGAGGGTGAGGAGGGGTGGGGGACCAGCAGCAGAGGGCACGGCGGGAGTGGGGAGAGGACAGATCATAGGGTGAGCTGGGGAGGGCTGGAGGAGCCTAGGGCTGGTGGGAGGAGACAGCCTCCTGGAGGCAGGGGGGGAGCAGATACTGGAAGTGATGGAGCCCTGGGGTGCGTGTGCATGTGCGTGTGCGTGTGTGCGTGTGTGTGTGTGTGTGTGTGTGTGTGTGTGTGTGTGTAGGCACCTGGAAGCAGCGATGCATTGGGGAGTGGGAGCATTGGGCGGTGGAGGTCTGTGGGAAGAAGGGACATGCTGGAGGCCTGGAGGTGAGTAGACCGTGGGGGCGGGGCTGGTGGGCGGGGCACTGGGCGGGGCTTGCGGAGGGGCGGGGCTCAGAGGCCGGAGGCGGCGCTCACCTTGCTCTATGTCGCCCTCGCGCTCCGCCAGCTGCTCGAAGTCCCGGATGATGGCGCGGGCCGCCAGGTGGTGGAAGGTCTCCCTCCACAGGTCGGCGTCCGGCTCGCGGCCCGGGGGCTCCAGCTCGAAGCTCACCTCCCACTGCAGACGCTGGCTGTCACGCAGGCCCTTGACCACGGCCTTGCCCAGCACGGGGTCTGGGGTGGCCAGCCCATCGGCGCTGGCCTGCAGCTCCCAGGCCGGGGAGGTCTGGGCCTCCAAGGAGGAGGGCTGGTGATCTGTGAGCGGAGGGACCAGTCAGTGCTCTGCACTGGGGGACAGAGGGCAGTCCCCTCCTCCCCCCAGGGGACATCATCTGTTCCCAGGGCACAGACAGCCCTAAGCGAATACAGTGCCGCAGCCCACCCCACTCCCAGGGATCTCCAAACTCCTCTCTTAGAACAGGTGGGGTGGCATGGGCTTGTCCCCAAGAGGGGGGCAGACCCACCTCCCAGGAAGCCGGGACCTGGGGGGTCAGGTAGGATGGGCTGAGGCACTTCCCGGGGAGAATGTGCTGCAGAGAGGACACGTGGTGGGGGACAGGCAGCCCAAGGGCCAGGTTGACTGGACTAGGAAAGAGTGGGGGGTTGGCGAGGTCCTCAGGGAGAGAAGGGGCCAGAGCAGACTCTCCCCAGCCGCCCCCCCCCCTCCAGCCCCCAAAGAGTTCAGGCGTCTGTCCTGTGGGCCTGTCATCGGAAGTCAGGCGCAGCCAAGGAGTCCTCCCTGTTCCCAGTCAGGCCGGGGACCCTGAGGACACTTACCCGGGTCCCCGGGGCTGAGGCTGTCTGAGGAAGGCTTCAGGCCGTTCCCAAGATCCATGTCCCTCATGGGGCTCCAGGCCTGGGGCTCCTGGTCAAAGGGCACGACGGGCTGGCAGCCTTGGGGCAGCAGAGAGGGCCTGCGGGCCCCGGGGCCCCGGAGCTTGGGGCCCTGGGACAGGTCCCAGCCATTGTTCAGGAAGGGCTAGGAAGGCAAGAGGAAGATGAGTAGGTGTGTGTATCTCCCCCCCCTCACCCAGCCACAGCTCTTTCCACGGGCACCCCAGTTCCCCCTGGAGTACCCAAGTACTCTCCATGAGAAACGTCAACATGAATAATCCAAAAACATGGATGAGGTCCAAAACCCGGAAGACCATGGAAAATCACATACCATAGATAATCTAGGCTCACCTATTTTTGCCATAAAGTTTAAAACGTTTGCACGTGTTTAAAATTAACCCTTTCCCGATGTCTTTTCATAGGTCATGTTTAAAAGGTCTTTCCCACTAAAAAAAATAAATTCCTGTAGAATTTTTGTGGTATTTGTTTGTTTGCTTAAATCTTTGAGTCCCATGAAGTTTATTTTCGTGTAAGGAAATGGGAACCGGCCTTTTTGTTGGTGCTCTGAATCCTAGCTCCGGTTACTGAATACGGTTCATTTATGGAGTCTCCGGGGCTTATCCGATCCCCGCCTCTATGCCGACAAAGCTCTCCTGCACATTTGGTGTTCGCTCTGGGCTTTCTGCTCTGTTTTGTGGTCTTAATCTGTCTATTCTTGTGCTGGTACAAAAAGGAAACATCAAAAGGCCAGGGGTAAACTGGGAAGTATATTTGCAACATGCATGACAAAGCTCATTTTCAAGAAAATGCTCTTATAAATCACTGGTGGGGGTGGAGAGACACTCGATAAAATAATGGATTAAGGGCATTCACAGCCAGTTTACAGAAAAAAAGTATCCAGTAAACCCATGAACACATGCCTGGCTTCTTGAGTGCTGCTCTACATGTAAATGAATTGCTGTCCTGGCCAGGTGGTTCAGTTGGTTGGACATCATTCAAGGGTTCGATTCCCAGTCAGGGCACATACCTAGGTTGTGGGTTTGATCTCCAGTTGGGGTGCATATGGAGGGGTAACAGATTAATGTTTCTCACATCAATGTTTCTCTCCCTTTCTTAAGCAATAACATTATGTCCTCGGGTGAGAATAAAAAAGTGAAATGAAATGAATTATGACTTCCCCCATTTTCCAGACTAGAACATATGTAAATGTCTGGGGACACGGAATGTGGTCAGTGGGGAGGTGACAACGGGGAAGTGCTGTGTGCAGAGAACCAGGGATGTCATTGGCCAATGGGTATCACTGTAAGGAAGGATCATTGAGGGTCAGGCAGATGGAGGAGGTGACTCGCTTCTCAGTCAGTTGTGGACAGGCTCCATCCTTCCGGTGGAAGCAGGAGACTCAGCTCACCCCTACCCATGGCCTCCCCCAACTCCACCCTGCCCCGCCCGGGTACCTGCAAATCAATCTGTCTTGGCTGGGCATCCAGGCTGGGCTGGTTGATGAGGTCCTGCAGCTTGGCTTTCCGCAGAGGGTATCTCCTGGCAGCCATCGTGGGGTCGCTGACTGTGGTGGCCCTCGGGGAGGGCTTGTGGGTGGTGATCTGGTTGGTGCTATATGCCCGCCGTCGCTGGGAGAGGCTTGCACCTGGACAGGGGTGGTAACAGGGGAGCCACCGAGTGCAAGAAGAGGACAGCAGGCAAAGAGGGAGGGGCTTGCATACTCTTTCTGGAGCTTTCCACTGCTCACCTACTGAAATACGTTTGGGTGCCTCACCTCACCTGACATTGAAAGCCTGGCCTAACTGTGCCCTAATCCAGTGGTTCTCAACCTTCCAATGCTGTGACCCTTTAATACAGTTCCTCGTGTTGTGGTGACCCCCCAACGATAACATTATTTTCGTTGCTACTTCATAACTGTAATTTTGCTGCTGTTAATGAATCATAATGTTAATATCTGTGTTTTCCGATGGTCTTAGGAGACCCTGCTAGCAGTTCTCAACCTGTGGGTCACTGGGTGATATTTTAGGGCCTAATCTCTCACCCAGCGACTCTCTTTTCTGTTCCTTTTTCAAGGTCCCATGTGCTCCAAGCATAGCAGCTGAGTAACCAGCGGTGGACGCATTGTGTGGGTGTCACACCTCCACACCTTCTCTCAGGCAATGCTGCTGCCCAGAACCTCCTCTGGCCCATGTCACTCTGCTTCCCCTCAGAACCAAGTCCAATTGTACCCCTCTCACCGGAGGGAGAGCCTCTGAAGAACAGGTGCCTGTTGGAGTCACCTTTGGTGCTCACACCGTGCTCAGTCCTTAACCGGGCTAGGTGATCAGTAAATACCCTCTAAGTGGGAACTAAAACCGTAAAGTGGCTTTGGAGGCAGGCAGGTCTTCTCTCTCTGTCTGTACTCAACCTCTTTCCAGCTGAACGGGCGCAGCCAAGTGACTGAAGTTCCCTGTCTTAGTTTCCTCGCCTGCGGAATAGGCAGTAGCCACTTCTGCAGCTGCTAACTATTCAACGCGATAATTTGTATAAAGCGGTTAGCTCATAGTAAGTGCTCATTAAAATGTAGCAATCATAGCTTCTGGAGAAGTGAGCGAGGCACAAAGAGCGGCAGATTTACCAGGAGTGATGGGGGAGTCGCCGCTGGATGGCCGGGCATCTGTGGCTTGCCTCAGGTTGAGGGGCTCCCCCAAGCTCTTGGCACAATTTGCATTGTCTGAGCCAGGCCCCTCGTCCTGTGAGTGGTAGAAGACAGAGCTGCTGGACTCCTGAGACTGCAGCATGCTGTACCGCCTCCTCTTGTCCTGGAGGAAGGGAGAGAAGGAAGGTTGTAGGCTAGATGGCAGGAGGGACATCCACAGAGCAGCGAGCAGTGTGAGACAAGGTGGTGGAGAGTCCATGCCAGAATGGGAATAATTTAAAAAAAAAAGTGTTTTGCTAGCTTGGAGAATTTAGGCAGACTTCTGTTCATAAGATGGTGAATGAAAATTATTTATCACTTACATTGCTTATATTTTAAATTATATTCTTTATTAGATTTTTTTAAAAGGTAATTCTAAATGCCATTGCTAGGTTAACGAAATGCACAGAATGAACCGTCTGTTCCTCCTATTCCATTCTCCATAGTATACACATACATATAAAACATGAAGGCTTTTGGGGATCATTTTTTGTTTTACAAAAACTGGACCATATTACTTTATATTTAGCAGTATCTTGAACTTTGCACTTTAAACATTTTGGAAATCCTGCATGTCAACTGTTCTTTTCAACATTAAATTGTGCAATATTCTTTTTTTTTTTTTTAATATATTTTATTGACTTTTTACAGAGAGGAGGAGAGAGGGATAGAGAACTAGAAACGTTGATGAGAGAGAAACATTGACCAGCTGCCTCTTGCACACCCCCTACTAGGGATGTGCCCACAACCAATGTACATGCCCTTGACCGGAATCGAACCCGGGACCTTTCAGTCCACAGGCCGACGCTCTATCCACTGAGCCAAACCGGTTTCGGCAGATTGTGCAATATTCTACCACCCCTATGGTTAATCATTCACTTTGTGGCTGTATTTATATTTACATTTAATGTTTTATCAGTCAAAAAGTCAACATGTCATCCATTGATAAGTAAAAGGTGATGACAGAGGATACAAAACAAAACAAAACAAAAACAAACAAAAAAACACAGAGAGAATATGCTGTTAACCTTCATTCCTTCAACAGTAAGTCAGGCCTGATCAGACAACAAAAGTATAAATCACCTGGTGTAGAGGGCAGAGTAGAAAAGGAAAAAAGGAGTAGAAATCACCTTAAAAAATCAGTTCCATTAAAATAAGTATGTGAGCCCATAGTGCCTTATGGCACCTATTATTGTTGATCTACTAAATAATAGTTTGGGAGCTCTGGGGAGGATATGAATATCTTTGGATTAGAAAAAAAGTTTATGAAGTCCTGGAATTTACAAGAGAAAATTAGAAACCTGATTGACCAATTCAGTCATACAAATTGTTGTCCTCTCTCAATAATTAAGTTTATTTGATGAGAAATTCATATTCTTGCTGTAAAATCGTTTGTAATAATGCCTTTCACAATATTTTCCTGCTTCATGTAACATCAAGTGACATTTGGAGAGGAGCAGCATTAATATGTGGCCATAGTTTTCGCCATCACAAAAAATGCTACAATGAATCCTTGGACATAACTCCATTATATCACTTTATTTCTGTGAGATCCTTAGAAGGGATTTCTAAGTTGAAAGGATACGTCTTTCTAACTTCATTAGTTATTTGTAGATTGTGTTCCATGGCCTGGCAACTATACCTCACAACTACAAGCTCAGATCCAACTCATTCCTTCCTGCCAGGAACAGCCTTTCCTGCATGGTTCTGGGCCCCCACTGAGCCCCAGCATTTCTAAAGTACTTACCGATCTGGAGTTGGAGATGTATAAGGAGGCGTCACACACAATGCCGTATCCCACCAGCCGCTCCCCAGGGAAGAGGGTGCTGGTGCTCACGGGGGAGACCAGGACTTCGGTGGTCTCGGGGAAAACCCACTCCACAGTCACATCGCTCAGGACCGGGGCCATGGCCTTCTTCAGGGATTTGACCATCTGTTGGGCACAATCAGAGCGCTGGTTGGGGAGATGTGTGAACAGGGAGGGCATGTCCAGATGCATGAAGCCCAGGTGGGTATGACCAGGCGGGGATGTGAGCGTGGAAGAAGTGAAGAGAGGCTTGCCTACCAGTGAACATGCCACTTTGCAGGCGCCTACAATGTCAGAGTTGGAACAAATTTTCGCTGTCGTCTTCTCTAAGCTTTTCTCATTTAATAAATGAGAAAAACCCAAGACTCAAAGGAGGGTTGTGACTAGTCCAGGGCACACAGAGTTTGTGTCAAAAGCATGAACCAGATAGTGAGCTGAGCAAGTGGATTTGCTTTCCTGGGCCTCCTTTTCCCCACGTGTTAAACCCAGGGTCCAGCAGCAGAGGGACGGGGCCCTTCCACCTACCTTGGGTTGCAGCCGCTCCCCCTCCATCAGGAACTCAGCACTGCCCTTGGACACGGTTGCCAGCCCCTTCACCAGCCTGTGGCAGACGTTGGGTCCAATTCCAAAGCTATAGCACCTGGGAAGGGGAGGAGAGAGGCTGCTACTTCCCATCCCCTCTGCCATCTTTGTCTCCCGATGGGGAGCAGGATCCAGGCGGACTCTCTCACGGCTGGTCCAGCTTCAGGCAGAGGGCCGGGGAAGAGCGCCATCAATGGGCATTTACATTCACACATAAAGCCCACGACTTCCGCCCCAGCTCAGAGTCTAAGCGGCAGGAAGGGCTTCCTTTGCGTAGGCTGCTGGTTGGGAGCTGGATGCAGAGGTGTGGGCTTCTCATCCCTCCTGAACTTGGAGGGGGAAAGGCAGACTTTGAGGTCAGCCACCCCACCTTGGAAGCAAAGCTCTACAAGGTTCTTTCCTCGTCTTCCAGCATTTCCCCACGTGGCCCGGGTTCTGGAAACCCCAGCCCAGGGCAGCCCAGGATAACCCTGTCCTGGACCTTCAGCGGGTGCCCACCTGGTGGAGAAGGCGTGGTTTCGCGCCAGCTCCAGCACCTTCCCGGTGTTGTTGACTGCCCCGTCTGTGACCACGAAGAGAAGTCGCGGGTGGCCTCTGTGCACCGGCTGCCGGATGACCCACTTGAGCGGGGAGAGGATGTTGGTGCCGCCCATGTCGGCCCGCATTCTCTGAATGTTTTCACAGGCCATGGCCAAGGTCTCCTGCAGGAAAGGCGCAGGCAGGGGGGGTAATTCCCAGGGTCACCGTATGGTGCGCAGACTCCGAGCCTCTTGGGGGAGGAGTCCTTTTGTTTCCCTAGATCAGCAATTTTCAACCTTTCCCCCCACCAACATAAACTAATTACTAAAAATACACAAAATATATACATATTTGTTGCTGATATAACAAAAAAGAAGGTATACTTTTGGTTCATTCACACCAGATGGCTAATGTGTTGGCTGCTGATATTTGTGTGTGTGGCAATCTAAGGGAAAAGAGGTCAGTGCCCCAGACTAAATAGATAGGTATTGCATGTCTCAGAAACCCTTGCAGCCCTGACTGGTTTGGCTCAGTGGATAGAGCATCGGCCTGTGGACTGAAGGGTCCCAGGTTCAATTCCAGTCAAGGGCATGTATACATCCCCAGTAGGGGATATGCAGGAGGCAGCTGATTGATGTTTCTAACTCTCTATCTCTCTCCCTTCCTCTCTGTAAAATAAATAAATAAAGAAATAAAAATCCTTGCAGCTCACCGGTTGAAAATCGCTGCCCTAGATAATAGTTCAATAACCTCACCAGAGTTTAGTCCTGTTCCCACTCTCACCTCCCTCACGTCCTGGAAGAATAGGTGGACACTTACTGGTATTTGACATGGTTCTGCCCAGTCACACCCCACCAGTGCCTGCCATGCTACCATCCATGGTGTTACATTAACTTATCACTGTCCTTTCTGGCCCAGGATTATTGGCCTCAGATAATCAGAATGTCACTACAGCAAGGACAGATGCTCACTGGACATCCAATGTCCTTCTGCTCCTGTCTCTGGAAGATGCTCTTCCAACATCCATGCTTGGAGTGACTGCACATGTCAAAAGTCTTCAAGTGTATAATGTACCTTTGAGCCAGAAAGACTAGAAATTTATCCCCAGGGAACCACGAAGGAGGTATGTGTGAAGCCTTCGATACAAAGATGATAAGCAAAAAAAAAAAAAAAAAAAAAATGGAAACAACTTCACTGCCCAACTGCAGGGGTTTAGTTAAATAAGTCACGCCTGTCTGGTTTGGTTAAATAAGTGAAACACTGGGCAGCCATTAGAATGATGCTGCAGATTTATACTTAGTGGCATAAAATGTGCTCATGACAGGCTGTTGTGTTTGAAAAGTAGTTTCTGGAAGGCCTAATCCTGTCTTTACTGAAACTGTGGGTAATGAGTAGAACAAAGTCTGGAAGGATTTACTCTAAGCTCTTAATGCTGTGTTTCCTTTTATTTTTCTGACGTGATCATGTGAGATTTACGTAGTTTTCTTTTTGATTATCTAATTTCAAAGGCTGTGGGATAATCAATATATATTATTATTGTATTTAAAAAAACACATAAACTACTTTTAATTGAAAAGTGGCTGCTAAGTCCTCCTTCCCTCTCTTCCTTCCTTCCCTCCCTCCCTTTAATTCCTAGGCCTGCTATTTTGAATGTGCTGCTGAAGCCATAGTCCTGTTGTTTAAAATTGTACCCACCTATTCACTCGGCTATCCCTTCCTGTTCACTTCTGTGGCTCAACCTTGCACAGATTTACTGTTCTCCTAAGACAGAGGCTTCCGTGAGTGGCAGGCCTATGCATTCTTCCTACCCCTTCCTGGACCCCTGTCTGCACACACCCACACTTTGCCCAACACATTCTTTATTTTAAAGAGAAGGGTGTCAGAAGGCGGAAATGTCAGAAAACTGCCTGAGCAGAGTTAGCCTCTCTCTTTTTCTGTCCTTTGCTCTTCACCACCCGCCCCTCCTGGTCCCAGCCTTGTCCTTCCTTACCTCATTGTAGGTCTGACTGGAAGGGAAGAGGGTCTTAAATGTGGATCCAAACCCAATGACATTGAAGAGGCAGGCTGGCATGAGGCTCTTAAGGGCCACCAGCATGGCATCCTGGCAGGCAAGAGAGGGATTTTCAGGATTCAGGAAGGAGTTATGACTTCTGCCGCTTCACACCGGTGTTATTGTCCTAGCAGGAATCTGCCTCCACACAGGCCTTCCGCCCCCCTGCCTGCACCCAATGTCCCCTTTTCCCCCAGATCAAGAAATCTGCTGATGCTGAGCGGAGGCTGGACCAAAGCCATCTCATGAAATTTCTCACTTGAGTAGCAAGTCTGACGTTTCAAAGCCATTCTATTATGGCTGCCAGTTCCATCTCACCTCCTGCTGACCCTGAGAGGTAGGGAAAGCGGGAAGCACTCATTTCTTCCCGCCAAAACAAAATTGATGTCTAAGGGAGGCATGTGGCCTGGTCCGGGTCACCCTGGTGATGGGCTAGGCTTCTGGCTTTCATCCAGGGCCTTTTGCAGCAGAATTCACCCAATTATCATTGACTAAGGATGAATCGCTTTGGGACAGTCTCTTTAGGTCATATTTGTTGAATGCCCAGGATGTACTTTACCTACATCACCTCATATAATCTTCACAATGACCCTTGAAGCAGGCACAATAGTATGCCCATTTTATAGGAGAGAACACAGAGGTACAGAGAGGGGAGCAACTTGTTGGTGAGCATTCAGATACTAAATAGTGGAGCCAGGACTCAGACACGAGTCTCTTTGCCTCCAAAGTCTGTGAACATTAGATTTTTTAACCCACTTAACTACGCAACATCAGGAGACTCAGGTAAAGGTATATTGGAAAAGATGACACCAAAAAAGAAAAGTGGAGATGACAAGAGGGAAAAAGGATAATATTGATGATGAGGCAATGATACATATCAAGCACTGTGTACACTCTTTATATGACCTCATTTAGTCTCTAAAAGAGTGGTTGAGAAGATGCACTTTGATGTTAAACATATCGGGGTTTACATAATACCTTTACTATTGCTAACTTCACCTTGGGCTAGTTATGTCATTCCTCTGAGTCTCAGCCTGGCACATAGTAATCCATTAGCAAATGGTTATTATTATCTACACAACAAGATGCATATTAGTATTAATGCCTCTGTTTCACAGAGAAAAAAACTGAGGCCTAGAGCATTTAGGAATTGTACTGGATGACAAAACCTAAAGATAGGGCCAAAGCTGTCAAAACACAGCTCTTAGCCTGGTCAGTGTGGCTCAGTTGGTTGGACATCATCCTGTTTACCAAAGGGTTGCTGGATGGATTCTTGGCCAGGGCACATGTCTGGGTTGGGGGCTTGATCCCCAGGAGGGAGCATGCAGAAGGAAGCTGAACAATGTTTCTCTCTCACATCCATGTGTTGTTGTTTTTTTTCTCTCCCTCTTTCTCCCTTCCTCTCTCTAGAAATCAATTTAAACATTTAAAAAAAATCTTTACAAAGTGAAGCTTTAAAAAACAACAACACAGCTCTGAAATCTTCATTCATGTTGGCTTTGCCTTGGCACAGAACTCAGGAATTGGGGGGAGGGCTCTGCCTCACACCCATATAGTTTATTGATGGCAGCCCAGGGAATCTCAGCATGGCTTCAGGGAAACAAGCTGTTCCACCCCAGAATTTAGAAGTAAACAGCTGTAAGTGGATCCTGGCAACTTCCACACCATACGGACCTGCAGCCCCTCTCCCACCCCCTCTGTAAACATTAACATTAATGTTCTCTTTGTTGCTTGTGTCAATATATTTTATTTTTCTGTGAAAGAAGTCCAGATCTGCTTACTTTTTCATTAGCCACCAGTGTATATTCCTGCTAGCAAGAGTCGTTGCTGATCCATACAGATTGCCTCGGCTCACACCTATTAGACTTTTCAAAGCCGTGTTTTTGGCAGCAAGTGGCAGCTGAAGAATGAGACCAGCTGCAGGAAATTAAATTGGTTGAACTTTCCCCTTCCGCGTGGCTGCTTGGATTTCTGTTCTCTCCTACCTCCCTAACTCCAGTTTTTTCCCTAAAACTTCAACATAATGGGCCACAGTTAATGATGCAAGCAACCCCCAATGACCTCATTATCAATGGGGGGAGGGGTTTGTGGCCTGAGTAATTTCCTATGTCTTTTTCTAAAAGGGGCAGGCGCATGTAGCAGAATGGATTGTGCTGATGCAAAGCCATTTGTGAAAGGTGACCTTGAGGCCAGGGAGCTGAGCTGGAAAAGCAAGCAAGAAAGATTCCAAGGGGGGAGGAACTCTGAGAGGAGCAGTCCTGGAGGAAGTCGCCATCAGAGAATTCTGGAATGTCAAGGTTGGAAAGGTCTTTAGTGCAGGAAGTGGATTTCCACTCATGAACCAACTCCATTCAACTGGTGGTAATGGCCTGGAGCCCCTTGATGAGAAACATATAGAGACTGAGTCCAGACTCAGCGTGGTAAAGAATGTCATGGTCAATTGTTGATGTCTGCCTGGGCTTGGGAGAAGAGAACAAAGGGATATAGGACATATGTTTGTCCTCCCTGTATTAATCCTCCCTTCTCATTTTACAGACAGTATAAATGAAGCCCAGAGTTGAGAACCAATTGGTCCAAAGCCACATAGCCAGCCAGTGGCAGACTGGATCCTGGAATTCAGGCATTTCTCTTTTACTAAGTCATGCGGCAGAAAAGACATAATCAGAAAAGAGAGCTTTTCTTGAAGGGGAGTATGTATAATTCCCTATCAGAAAGGTGAGGCAAACGAGCACTGAGCCAGGATATGGAAAACTTAGGCTCCCTCACTAGCACTGTGATGTTGGGAAAAACAGCCTTTTGGGGATTCAGTTTCCCGGAAATAAGCAGGGAAGGTGGATTAAATGCTCTCGAAGGGATGTTTCATGATCCCATGATACTTAGAGTAACTGTGGAGACATCTTACAAATTGGTCCAGCTGTGGAATGGGATACACATGAGACTAGACTGTGCTTCAGCACTCCAGCACGTGGACAGCTCCCTATTCCAGCATTTGTTTTTGATGGCGGTCAGGGGCTGGGAGAAGGTCCCAACCAGTCCTCCATCCCATTGTCAAGAAGCCTCAAACAGGGTCCCATGTAGGATGCTCTCTCATGCTTCAAGACAAAGCCCAGTCAGAGCATGACTGAAGAGTTAGCTGGCCTCACAGATCCCACCTAACCTTTCCTCTCCTTGCTTATCCTGTTGCCTTGGGAACAAGATAGGCACAAAGTGGGAAAGAAGTGAAATTTCAGGTGACAACTGAGCCCCCTCCCTGCTACTTCCCTCATGCCTTGTTTTTTTGAACTGTGATCCTTTACCCAGTTCAATGAACCATGACTGGGCGCTTTTTATGCCTAAATATAGAGCAAGGCCCCATGGGGAGAGATAGATGAGCCAAGATCTGGTCCTCTCCCTTAATGAGTTTCCCATAACTCCAAATGAGACAGACCTGCACAACTAGAAATACAAGGGAGAGGGGGATAAGGCCAAAACAGAGGAAAATAATCTCCTGAGGGAGATGAAATGTCTCTGGACTTTGGGGGAAAGGTCATTACTCCGTCTTCCTCACTCATCGCACTCATCGGAAGTCTCCACAGAAGCGAGATCATGCTCCATACATGACTGCTTAGAGGGCAGACACGGAGTTTATAACCTGCTGTCTTTTCAGATAGCCAACCACAAAATTTTGCCCGTATTAGGCATTTTGAGAGGGAAAAAAAAAAAAGCTTTTTTTTTTTTCTTCTTCTACTGGGTTCTACACATTATTTGATGATAGGGGCCATCTCCAGTGAATTTCTGATGCCAGGTCGTAGGGACAGACAGACATGGGTTTGGTATTAAACCGCACTGGCTGTGTGACCTTGGGTAGGTTATTGAAACTCTCAGGATGGGCTTTCCACTCTGGCAAATGGAGACCACAGCACTAACTTCGGGATTATAGCTGAATTCAACACCCAGCTGCACCCTTGTCCACTTAGTACCTACTGAGGGCTGTTAGCCTGAGCATCACTCAGCAAAGGTTGTAGAATGTCAAGGGAAGAAGTTGATAACTTCATCCCTTGTAAGTGGACAATAGTTCTGCCTCTGCTCATACCACTTCAGGGTTTTCTTTCTGGAGCACATTGAGTTTGGGTGTCTCTGTTCAAACTGATTTTAAAAAAGTTGTTGCTTCTTTTAGACATGGAGAGCCATTTAGAAAGGTGGTTCAGGTGTGGAAGGGGGCTTCATGGAACCAAAAGTGCTGATGAACTTGGTTTGGGGGAGCATCACTGATTTACCCTGGAGCACAAGACCCTGGGGAGGGGGTCCCCTAACAGGTACCTTGACACAGTGGATACTGGTCCCACTCATGCTGCTGCTCCTGTCCACGAGGAAGATAAACTCGCCATGAGTCTTCCTCAGGTTTGGCTGCACCGACTGGAGGTCAGGACAGAAGTTGAGCATGATGACAGAATGGTGGGGAATGTCCTTGTGGAGGCGTTTCCGGATGATTTCTGTCTGGAGGAGAAAGGAAAACCTCTCACTTGGTATTCAAAGGGTCCAGTGCTACTCACGTGGTCTCCCATTACTCACCAAGTATTGTCAAGATCCCGCTCACACTCTGCATGAGAGACTTTCAGGTTGACCGCACCTGGCTCTCTACTTGCTAGCTTTCCACTGGTTACAACAGCAAGCCCGGACTTTGGAGGCAGAAGACCTGGGTTTGAATCCCAGCTCTGTCACCGTCTAGCTGTGTGATCTTGAATAAGTCCCTTCTCTGGGCCTGTTTCTTCAATTTTAAAAACGAGGCACATAATGTTCCCTTCTCTAGGTGGTTTTGAGGACGAACTGAGCTGGCACACAGATGGGAGGTCCCGGCACAGGTGCAGGTCTTCGATTGAGTAGCAGTTTCTTTCTCTTTCACCCTCAGTGTCTGAGCTTCTTTCTGGCTTACCTTGGCTGTGACCTTGGTTTCTCTGGTTTACTGATTCTCTCCCACTGATAACTTTCTACTCTTTCTCTAAAATTTTACTTTTTGGAAAGCCTGCCCTCATCTTCCAGGTGTCCTCAATGATTTGGTTTCCTTCTCTATGTACTAAGGACAAGAGTACATGCCTCGCCAAGTTCTACAAATAAACGCAATGCTTGTGAGGCCCGCTGCCTGGTAGTCATTGGCTAAATGGTAGCCATCATCCCTGTTGTGGTTTGTCATGGGCTCAGGCATTGCCCACATGCAGCTTTGTGCTCGTATCTCTGCCTCCCTTCTAGCTTGTATGTTACTTGAAGGTAGGTCAAGCCTGAGCTGCTTCTTTATCTCTAGGGCTTAATACAGAGCTTGGTGCAGAGGTGGGCTTGGTAAACAAAGGGAGAACAGCACCCTAGTTCTTGACCTTTTCGTGAGTTCTCTTGGCTGACACAGTTCTGAGCCTTCCTCCTGGCCGCTCCCACTCACTCTGTACCAAAATCCATTTCCTCCCTCTCGCTCCATTCTGGCTGCCTCTCTCTGTCTCTTGATCTGGCTGCCTTTGGGTGGACATGTCCCTTTGTGTCTGTTTTTCAGTTTTGGTCTCTTTGAATCCCTTCCCCAACTCAGTAATGACACCATCACCCATCAGGTGTTCAAACTAAAGATGGCGAAGTTGTTGTTGCTTCCTTTCTCGCTCCTTCAGCAAAGGATTGCAAGTTCTGGGGCTAAAACACACTCTGAATGCGTGTCCTTTTCTGTCTCCACTGCCACCATCCAAGTTCAGGACACCATTATCTCTTGCCTGGGCCCTTGCCATTGCCTCTTACTGGTCCCTTTCCTCCACTTTTACTTCCCGGTAGTCCATTCTATGTAGAGCAGGCAGCGAGATCATTCTCTCCATTCTCTTGCCTAAGCAATGGCTTCCTCTCATACCCTGTGCCATGGCTTATGAAGCCCCCAAGGCCTGACCAGCCCACCTGTCCATCTCATCTTCGCCCACTACCCCCATTTCACTCATACAGCTGCCTGTTTCCCAAACGTGCCACCACTATCCTGCTTCCCGATCTTCACTGTCCATCAGGTCTCATTCTCAGGCAGGCTTTTTCTAGATGAGCAGCAGCCAGTGCTTGCCACTCATTCCCACACCATCATGTTTTATTTTTCTCCTGGTCCCCAGCCCTCTCCAAATTGACTGTGCTCATTTGGTTACTTCTTGTCTCTCTTCCTGTGCTAGAAGGTAAGCTCCATGAGGACAAGGATGTGTCATTTTTCAGTGTGGCCTCTCCCATGCCTAGAATGGAGCCTGACATCTATTGGACACATGGTGTTTGTTGACTGAATAAATGAGAGAATGAATCTGGGTCTGTCTACCACTGACCTGTGTGTGCAAGTTTTTCTTTTTTCTTTTTTCTTTTCTCTATTTGTTTCTGCTTCTCACTGCATCGCCATCTTTCCTACATGGTTATCTTTCTGTGCCATATTCTCCCTCTTTGCTAAATCACAGTTTTGACAGCTGGTCCCTCCCACTCTTCCTGATTGACATTTGCCTTCTGGCTGCCCGCCTCCCTCCTTGGCAAAGGATCACGTTCTCTGTCCTGCGTGGAGCTCCCTTGCCAGAACCACGACCAGCCTGGCTCTTTCGATGACAGAGCCCAAGGCAGTAACAGCCACATCAGCCTCTCAGAGCGCGGGGGCCCTGGCTCAGGATTCTCTAATGGCTCCTCAAGATGCCATTATCTAATTATAATAAACTCATCATTTTGTAGCAGCTTTAGGCTGGTGGCTGTCATTCCTGGAGCTCATGAGACTACAGGGTATTTGCATAACCAACCCAAGGTGGCAAAGGAATTCTCATTCGCTTCAGTGGTCCCAGAGCTAATTGATTTAAGGTTTGGTAGGCAGGGGACCCAGCCCCAGCCGGGGAGGCCCATGGCTCCCTCCAACCACGCTGTCCACCTGCTGAAGTTCTCGGAGCTTAGTGCACAGCTAGCATTGCCACCCCCACTCTGAGGACCTGGCTCAGCCTCTTCTCCCTACTGACTCATCTGGGTGAGGGGGCACTTCTGCGAGAGGTGTTTCCAGTGGGATCGCTAACAGGGCAGTGATGTGATGGGCACTGAGCCAACTACACCTTCCCTTTGTCATCCTTTCCACTCCCACCAGGCAGGTGCTTCCAGAGGGACCTCTAACAGTCGGGGTGAGCAGTAAGCTGCCTACATGTGTTTCTGTATGCTCTTCCGTTGCCTCATCCTCTGCCAGCCTAAATCCAGCATCATTGCCCTGCGGATTGAGTCTAAGTCCTTAGCTTCGATGCCATTAAAGTCAAATCCCAAGAGAATGGTCTTCCCCATTCCCCAGCTTATAGTTACTTTGGGGTGCTAAACCCCAGTTTTTTTCATCAAATAAGCCAAGAGAATAAAAAGAAGTGGGTCGCCATTCTTAAAGGTATCTTGGCCTTGAGGACCCAGCTTGGTGTGTAGGGTCACGAACAGGAGGCAATGCCCGGTACAATTTGTGGCCATCCGCTGAGCCTCTTAGCATTTCTTCCCCATGCAACCCCTCAGCATAGGGTCTCTGGTGCTTCAGCTTCGTGGAGGAGAGGACAGGCAGAAGGGCACAATCTTTGTTAGGCTTTCCCTTCCCTGTCTTTACTGTCTATGTAATAGCCACCAAGGACCCAGAGGAAGGAACAGCAAGAGACCCATTCAACAGGTGGGAAAACAGAGGCCCAGGAGTAAAGAAAGAGCTGGGAGTGCGCCAGCTGTAGGGTGCCCCTGGGTGGGTGGGGGGGTGGGGGGGAAGGGTAATACATGGAGAAGCACCAGCTGAGAATTTTACCTGGCTTAGGTAACTTGGTACCTTATGTACCTGGCTTAGGCACTAGACAGTGTCCTGGCAGGCAGCGTGAAGACAGCATTGGGTGACTGCTACCTCTGAGAGCCATTTGCCTCTGCCCTGCAGTGCCCTGGCCCTTTGCTGTCCCTCTAACCTTCCCCCCCCCCCCCGACCACCAAGGGAAACACTGACGAGGACCTGCCACCAACCTGCTGCGTGACCTTAGGTAGGTCCCTGCCCCAGCTCATTCTCCTCAGTGAAGTCCCTGCGTGACCTTAGGCAGGTCCCTGCCCCAGCTCATTCTCCTCAGTGAAGTCCCAGTCCCCAGGGCCACCCTGGCTCTGCCACCCTTGGCCCTCTCCCTCAGCCACCCTCACCTTGCGCTCTGCACTGCAGTCCTTCTTCATCCCTCTAATGAAATCTGCTCTTCCCTTCAGGTGCTGCTCAAATTCTCCCACAGTCATGTCCCCTTTCTCCGTCAGGACGTGTGGCATGTGGGGCTCTGCAGGGATAAGATCAACTCTTGGCACGTGCCCAGGTGTGAGGGTGATGCCAGGGGCCTCGGCTTAGGGGCGAATCCTCATAGTGGGGAGGGCTCTTAGATGGAAGAGGGGTACAGAAGCCCTGGCTGCCCGAAGCAGGGTGGGGCCACAGGAAGACTCCTCAGCTGGGAGGCAGAAGTGCCTGGTGGCCATGGCTGACTCCTGGCCCCTCTCTGGGACTCAGTTTACCCATCTGTAAAATGAGAGAGGGACTGGCTGCTATGATATTTTCAGGCCCTGACACTCTAATGAATTCTTAGAGACAGAAGAGTTGTTCCCTGAGAGATCAGAGCTGCCAGAGCTTCCCTGAGCTTGGGTTTCAAAGATCCTCTGCTCCGCTGGCCTGCGGACAAAGTGCCCAGTAGGTGCACGGGACCCTGGGGCCTCTGGGGCTAGGACTGGGGCAGAAGACACTCAATTCCACCAGCTGGAGCCAAGTTTCCTAGGAGACTGGTCTCCTCTCCTCTGCCACGCAGCCCTACCCTTTCCCTGGCTGACCTCTGGGCAAGAGGCTACCTGTCTGTACCCCATGGGCTCAGCACCTCCTCCCTCCCACAGGCTTCCCGGGGTCCCCCCCCCCACCCCCCGAAGCACGATACCGCTGGGGTGGATGAGGATCTCCACGGGCCGGTCGAAGGTATGCCTGTTGGCCAAGGTGATGATTATGCTCTTGGCCGAGCGTGCGGACGGGGCGGCGTCAGCTCGAATCTCGTGGGTGGGACTCTCCACCCCTGCGTGGCACAGAAGGGTGGGCTAGGCTCAGGAGCCCTGAGAGAGACAGGGCCTTTGTGGGGGACACTAAGATGCAAGCCAGAGGTGACACTCCTGTCCATGAGGGGCGCCTGACCTGCTGGGTAGCCATGGACAGGTCTCCTCAGTTTCCCCATCTGCAAAGTGGGGACCCAGTGGCGGGGAGTCAAAGAAATTGCCTCTCATGGAGGCGCATAAAGATAGAAGATGCTCAGCGCTCGATCGGTGGGCACGCCATAAACACCTCTCAGGCTGGATGTCATGCTGCTCTGATAACATATTATACTTGTTGACAAAAAAACCGCATCCTATAGCCTTGAGTGGGTTGGAGAGGGAAATTGTCTCAGAGTTGGGAACTCAGAGTTGGGAACGATGGCTCCCGACTCTGGCTGCATGTTGGAACGGCCTGGGGCCTTCTAAATAGCCAAAACCCAAGACATGGCCCAGACCAAGGGCCCCCGAAGCTCGGGCGGGAGATGGGTGGCAGGATTCTGGAAGGTCCCTGGTGATTCCGCTGTGCAAGCTGAGAAGCAGGAAGCAACTCTAATGAATGCCTCAGGGCTGAACTGCGGGGAGGGGACCATGTACATCCCCAGGAAGCCATGGCGGTGGGTGGACAGCCTTGAAGGCTCATTGGGAGGGGCCCGTCTTTGGCTGTATGCTGAGGAGCAGGAAATGGGAACCCATACAGTATGATGTCCTCCATCCAGGCTGTCACATTTCCCACCCTCCCCTCACTCTCTGTCCTGGGCAGCTTTGGGCCTGAAGCCCTCACCAGCCTGGGCCTCACGTCATCCTGGCGCCCACCTGGGCCTGGGCAGCTCCCTCTCACCTGCGAGCAGGCAGGGCCCACGGATCTCCAGCTGGAAGTTGAACTCGTATTCCATGGGGTTGGACACATCCATGTCCAGAAGAGTTGCCAGGCACAGCTTGTTACAGGAGTCCAGGGCCTGGCCGCCGAAGCAATGCCTGTCTTTGCTGGGAAGGGGACGGAAAGGAGGAGGAAGAGGAGAAAGAAAAGGAGGAGGAAGAGGAGGAAGAAAAGGAGAAGGAGGAGGAGGAGGAGGATGAGGAGGAGGAGGGGGAGGAGGAGGAGCAGAAGGAGGAGGAGGAGGAGAAAGACCGCAGCCAGGACCAAGGCAGAAGGGGAGGGGAGTGCATTGTGAGAGGACATCGAGAGGACAGTGAGTCTCAGGCAGCCGCGCTCCCCTGCAGCCCAGCCCGAAAGGGGGCTGAGGAGCTTCCTCCCAGCCCAGACCCTTACTCTCCCATTCAACCTGATCCTGAGAGAGCCTGCATTCAGACACAGGCACCGAGACCCTGGAGCACATGTGTCAAACACAAGGCCCGCGGGCCAAATCCGTCCCGCCAGGCCTTGCAATGTGGCCCGCACCGCGCTGTCATCACTGCACTCCGCTGCGTTTCCATCACAATGACAGTTTATGACTGTTCAGTAAACCATTCGGCCCGCGATTTAGGCTGGATTTTAGATTTTGGCCCCTTCTCTGATTGAATTCGACACCCCTACCCTGGAGGGCTGGGCGAGGGGCCAGGCTCAGAGCTCCACATTGCTCTTACCAGAATCCTCTGGAAAAAGCCTCTTGGCCCCCCTCTTCCCATCTCCCACAGGGGGAAGCGGAGGCTCAGCAAGATGAGGCAACTAGCCCCAACATTCCCACACTCAGGACTTCACAGTGAGCATCCTCACCAGTCTGTCTGGCTCCTGTCTGACTATATCACAGCCCTTCTCCAACCCCTGCTCTGTGTCTGGGAGCTTGGAGCCCTCGAATAAGCCTTGGTTTTCTCATCCATTAAATGGGGTAATAATGACATTGTTGTTTTTCATGAGCGTCTGCTGAGCGCTCAAGTTTCTGGCTCTCTTTCTGTATCATCTCTCACCCTGTCTGTGATCCTGGTCCCTCTCCTGTTCTCCCCATGGGCACAGCCTCTAAGGTCTTTGATGTATGTCCTTAAGGGCACATATACATGGTAGCATTTGGATGTGAATGCACTTTAAACTGAAAAGATTATATTCTATTATGAATCTCACTCATTACTTCCATTATTATTTAATTTTTAAAAAAAATATGTTTTTATTGATTTTTAGATAGAGAGGAAGGGAGAGGGAGAGAGAGAGAGAGAAATATCCAGGAGAGAGACACATCCATCAGCTGCCTCCTGCACACCCCCTACAGGTGATCGAGCCAGCAAACTGGGCATGGGCTCTGACCAGGAATCAAACCCGGGACCTCTTGGTCCATGGGACGGCATTCATTCCACTGAGCCAGACCGGCTGGGCCATTACTTCCCTTTTTTTCACTCAAAACTGTTTCACTCTGTACAAGTGTGTCAACCAAAGTCATTGCTGCCGACCTGGTACCTGTCAGATACATCAGGGCACACGTTGTATCGTGTGAGTACTTTATATTGTACTTATTTGCTCCTGCCTCCACCTCATGTCCATGGGCACCACCACCATGAGGACCCTCATCTGAGTCCCCTTTTTGAACTATGAAAGGATTTCTCTGGGATCCCTGGGTCAAAGGGCACACACCGAGTACTCCAAGTCTGCTCTCCATGGTGCTGCTCCAGATTCCACTTTCACCAGCACCGCACACGTCTCCTTCTCGCCTCATCCTCTCCAACGCTGGGTGTTAGCTATTTGTCTCTCTCTGAGCAACTTTGAGGCTCATCGGGATTTGATGCAGGCCTCGCCCACGAGCACCTCTGCTCACTCTACCTGCTGAGATGGGCAGGAACAGGCTTCCTGGGGCCACCTCTGGGGCCTCTTGTTCCTTGACCTGCCAAAGTTCCTTGACCTCTGCCGGGTCCTGCCTCTCAAATGCACAAAGCTTAGTGCCTATGGCAGTACTTATAAAGGTAACGTACAACCTGGTGTCCCCTGGGCTGAGGCTGGAGTTTCAGCCTAGAGCTTCTCTGCTGTGACATAAGTGTTCTCACCCTCGGCTTCAAGGTCCTTCACGATCTGACTACATGCCAGTCCTCTGACCACTCTCCTCTCTCCCACCTGCTATAGCTATACTAGCCTGCCTGCCTCCTCACACACACCAAGCCCGCTGCCTCAGGGCCTTTTCCTCTGCTGTTTTCCCCTGCAGGAGTGCTCAATCTACATCCCCCTCACCCTCCAGGTCTCAGCTGAAATATCACTCCTCAGAGAAGCTTGGCCTGGCCCAGGACCCATGGGTTGGGTCTCTCTTTTATCTATCTATCTATCTATCTATCTATCTATCTATCTATCTATCTATTTTAATCCTCACCTGAGGATATTTTCCCATTGATTTTTAGAGAGAGAAGAAGAGAGAGGGAAAGACAGAGATAAATATTGATGTGAGAGGAACACGACGATTGGTTGCCTCCTGTATGTGTCCCAACCAGGGCTTGGGCCAGGGAGGAGCCTGCAACCGAGGTACATGCCCTTGACCAGAATCAAACTCGGGACCCTTCAGTCCACAGACCCTTCTGTCCACTGAGCCAAACCAGCTAGGGTGGGTCCCTCTTTTATAGTCTTAGCCCAATGAATGTCTCTTTCCTTGTACTTTTCACATAATTAACTATGCATGCAAGTGCACCAGTGGTTCCCCAGTAGTGGTGTTATCCATTGGATAATGATCTCTCTCACCAAGTTCTAGAAAGGCAGGATCTGTGATGATCTTGGATCCCTAACACTCAACTCAGTGCCTTAAGTGCGTGAAAGAAATAAAGCCTGGAAATTCTAATCCCAAAGTGTCCACATTCCAGAACATCTGGCCAGGGTCATTCCACGAAATCAGGAAGATCCCGATGCTCTAAGAGTGAGCGGGCAGGAGCCATTGTCCCGGGGGTGGCCTCTGAGGACTGAACGGGGTGGCCTCTAGCGCTGAGCCTCACCTTCAGCTCCATCTCCACCGCCCTCCACGCCCTGCCTTCACCTGACAGACTCCCCGCTGCCCACCTGAGACTCTGGTCCGTGTGCCCTTGTCCCAGCAGGGTCCTTACCCTTGGGCTTGTTGGCTGGAGGTGTCACCGCTCTCTGTGCAGAACTGGGGCACTGTCGGGGCGCAGATAGCAGGCAGCAGGACCCGCATGGCCCCGCTGGGCAGCGTTGGGAGCTCTGAGGAGGTGCTGATGAAGACCTTGACATTCTCCATCGGGGCGATGGACCCCAGGTTGACCACGAAGAGGATCCGCTCCAAATCCTCATCCAATGCCACCTTTCCCAGGGGGCAGGGAGGAGTGCCGGCGGAAACCCCCTCTCCCAGGATGTTACCTAAGCGCCAGGCCTGGGATCAGCCACTGCATACATTATCGCTACCGCCCCCTACGGTAGGTCTGAGCAGCCCATTTTGCTGATGGGAAACAGGCTCAGCGTAGGGGTGTGACTTGGCCAAGTTCTTCAGCAAATTACTAACTCATTGAACCGGGATCTGAACCTGCATGGGTCTGACACCAGGCCTGTGTACTTGTACCCCGCTGGGATTGGGAGCCTTGGACACAAAACCCCCTCAGAGGGTCTCGTCTCCAGCCGCAGACTCTACATCCCCACAGAAATCACATCCACGCATACCCCACCTGGGATCCGTGCTTCTGCTCTTGCTCTGTCCTTTCAGTTGTAAGCCCCCCCCCCCCCCCTACTTCTCCAGTCTGGCCCAACTATCAACCCCTCCAGGAACCCCTACCTCCCTGGCCCCCAGTTCGTACCCCTCGTTCCCTCCTCTGACATTATCCAGACCTCTTTGGGCACAGCCACCTCCCACCTGCTCTCATGGCCACTGGTAGGCACATCCTAGCTATCCTTCCAAAGTTTGCATCTTGCACATGGTAAGTGCTCATTAAAATATTCTTGAATGTCTTAATGATCAGATGAACAAACATCACTTCAATCATAGATCCAATAGTAATGATCTCTTACATCATATGATACTTGGTCTGGATTCTAGCCTTGTCTCAAACATGTGGAGGGGAGCAAAGCAGGGAAGGAATGGGAGACATCTATGATGGGCTTGGACCAGTCCCTGACCCTCTCTGAGCCTCAGCATACCCAACAGCAATTTGACTACTTAGTCTATCCTCTGCATACATGCTCTCTGTTGAGCTTTGGTGTGTATAAGTATTAGCTTCATTTTATGGATAATTTTTTATTTTTTATCTGAGCTCACACCACTTGCAAGGACCAGAACAGGGAGTCAAACCCTGGTGTGACTCATTCCACAACCTCTGAGCTTAAATGACATGCTGTTCTGTTCTGTAAAGCCTGCTGTTGAATCCTCTGGTCCTCACCATGCTTTCTAGACAAGAAGAGGGGAGATTGCCTCTGTTTACAGATAGTAAGGAGAGGGTCAGTGACACATGGGATTCCTGACTCCTACTTTAATGCTCTCTCTGCCCTATGCCATTGCTACCCTTTCAGCCTGCCCGAGACTTCTGCCGGGCCCAGATCCAGCCACAGCCCTTTTGGCCTCCTTACCTGTGACAGTTGTGTTTCGAAGGTGGGTGGCATTGAAGTGGCCACCCTCCATCTTGGCTTTGTCCTTGATTTGTACCGTTACAACCCGGTCAGCAATGACTGCCTCGAAGCCAATCACCGTAGTGTACTCATCCAGCGGGTACACGAAGAGGCCTGCCGGGGCAGGACCAAGCGTCATGGGTAAGGAACCCAAGCCTAGGTTGGTGCTCACTGCCATTTAGAGGGTGCCAGGGAGGACTTGGGCTGGGGCCTCAGGGCTGGCTCTGCACTCAGGCCCGGCACTCTGTGAGCACAGGGCTCCTGGAAAAGGGACAGCAGCTCCCCTGTCCCAGCCAACTCTTGCTCCGCAGGCATGTGAGGCCAAGGTGGCCGGGGCTTCTGACTTTTGGAGAGAGAGTAAGAATCTGGATTTTATGTGACCTGTTGTGTGGGCCAAATGACACACATGTGCGTGGTGAGTTTGCGATTCTTGGCTTCCAGGAGCTGGGGCGTGGGAGGAAGTAAACAGGGTTTGAATCTGGGCCCTGCTGCCTCTCCTAGCCTGGTGGCCTTGGACAAGATGTTCAGTTTCTCTAAGCCTCACAGCCCCATCTGTAAAATGGGGATAATACAGCCCAACGTGTAGGGTCATCATGAAAATGGAAAAAATAGCCATTTATGAAGCTACGTGCCCACATTTTTATACCTTGGTGCTTCTCAGCCTTTAAGAGCACACAAGTCATGGGTGGGGAGGTATGTCTTGTAAAAATGCAGATTTTCACTCAGTAGTTCTGGGGTGGGGCCTAGATCTGCCATGGATCCATGGCATGGGGACCACAGGGAAGATCAAGGTTGTATCTCATTTAATCTGCCCACCAACACGGGGGGCAGCACCCCTGCTTCCCCTCCCCCTACACCTCAGTTTTCTCATCCATAAAATGGGGGACTTGGTCTTTTTGCATGTAGAAAGCCAAGGGACTGTCCCCAAATTATTTAGTAATTTAGCCTCCTGGGTCCCCAGTAGGTCCCCTTTTAAGCCACCCTCTCCAGGATCTCTTCAACAGGGTCACTGTCTGCCAGGCGATTTCAGAGGGGATCAACTGGGCGTGAGAGGGAACCTTATCCTGGACAAGCCAGCACAGCACCCTCCCAGTAGGGAACTCCCTTCCTGAAGTGGAAAGAGAGGCGTTTGATTTACAAATGACTCCTCCAGGCAGAAATCTGTCCACAGTCCTGGCTGCCCTACCCAATGACTCCTATTCACAGGCTGTTTTTTTTTTGTTTTTTTTTTAAAATATATTTTATTGATTTTTTACAGAGAGGAAGGGAGAGAGATAGAGAGCTAGAAACGTCGATGAGAGAGAAACATCGACCAGCTGCCTCTTGCACACCCCCTACCGGGGATGTGCCCGCAACCAACGTACATGCCCTTGACCAGAATCGAACCTGGGACCTTTCAGTCCCCAGACCGACGCTCTACTACTGAGCCAAACCGGCTTCGGCCACAGGCTGTTTTTATTCCACGTTGTTCTTCTGCACTCAAGACCTCATCTGCTCCTCCCCACACCCCGCCGGACAGGCAAAGGGGCTTCCTGCTTCTGAGAAGACAGTGGCTTTTTCAGAGTCACAGGGACCAGAGCCACATCTGGGGCTGGCAACTTCTGACTTCCACTGAGTCTCGAGGCCCCTCCCACCGTGAGGTTCCCGGAGGAAGGGGAGGCTGGCCATTGGAGGCAGGTGGGCGGGCCTTGTGGGACCTAAATAGCACTGGGCCAGCTGGCAGGGCTGAGCCCAAACCTGGGCTCAAATCCTGACCTGACTTGCTACCAGTTTTGAGGCCTGCTGGGCGGAAATGATATCCCCATTTTACAGCTGAGGAAACTGAGACTCAGAGAGGGCCCAGGCCTTGCCCAATGTCCACCGGCTGCCCTGTTGGGGTGGGGATTCACTATGGAGGAGGGGTCCTTACCCTGGAAAGACTGGGCTTCCAGGTTGCCATAGGTGAGGGACGCAGTCAGACCCAGGGCGTAACCACTGACGAAGGAGGTGACATCAGAAGCAGTAAGGGGTAGGGCCGCCCCTGTCATCCGGTTCAGCAGACCCGGCATCCTGCTGGCTACTCAGCCTTCAGGTTCTGCGGGAGACAGGAAGCGCAGGAGGTGAGAGCGGCTCCCCTCCACCACCAACCCAGTTCTCTCACTTCAGACCCCACAGGCAGTTGGAGCCTCATTCTCTTCCCTTTCCCCAAGCACTTTCCTGTTGGTGACCCCCGAGAATGCTAAACTAGCAGAGAAGTAGTGACTCCGCTTCTTCCCATTGCACAGTGGAGAAACTGAGGCCTGAAGACAGGGGACCCGCCTGGATTTGCTCCGTGGGCTGGTGCCCAGGCAGGGCTGGAGCCCATCAGAGCCCCGTCCAGCCTGGAATTCTCCCAGCAGGCAACGTCCTCCTGGCCTGACCCACCTCTGTCAGCCCCATCGTCTCTGATGCTTCCTTTGCAAAAGGAGGGGATGGAATAGCTCATCAACCCCTCCTCCTCAGATTTCAGTAAATCTACCCACTGTGTCCTCAGTGCTGCTTGAAGGAATAAGAGAATGGATGACCGTCCTCATTCCAACATGAAAGATTTCTGAGCACTTACTAGGGCGGTGTATCCATTCTCTGTTGGGCCCCTGAGACCTCCTGGAGGACCACTGCCCTTGTGGGGTGGGGTGGAGTGGGAGGTGAAGTCAAACAAAGATGTGGAATATACGTCAGAGGGCAGACTCTCTCTGGGTTTTCTTCTCCGAGGCAGGGGAAGCTACCACGGGCTGGTGGCCTATTTGCAAGGCTGTTCCATGAGTGCTGACTACTCTGCCTTTTCTCAAAGACAGAACTCTTCCCTCCAGCTCCCCTCAGGTCCCACCAGGATCCTTGCCCCCTCTGCCACCCCCCGGCAGTGTCTTTTTAATTATGTTCTCTTTTGTGGCTCAGGCCCAGACAGCTCTCAGCCTGGCTTATCTCCCGCAGGCTGACTGATGGCAGCAGGAAGATAAGGAGCAGATAGGAGAGCTGCTGGATCCCCAGCTGCCTTCTCTGGGGGTTCTCTGTCCTGGTGGCCTCAGCAAAGCCTGGCTATTGGCAGGGTTAGAACAAGAGGGGGAGTTCATTTCCTGAATCTCACCTCGAGCCACCTACCCTTCCACCCTCCTCCCTCGTCCTGCTTCACTCCTGGCCCTAATGCTGATTGGGGAATGCAGCTGCAGGCAATGAGCACCCGGATGTGGGGTGAACTTGGACGTAAGGTTCAGTCCATCTTGGGGTGGAGTGTTGCCCCCTATCCTTAAGGGCAACTTATCCAACCCAGTCTTCTCCTCCTACCCCTGGTCCACATGCCAGGCTTCCTGGGGGGCGTCCCTCAGCTGGGGAGTGGTGCTTGGATGAGTGATGTTGATAATACAGGGCAAAGGCCCTGAGAACCGGCCCCTTAACAACATCATCCTTCTTGGGAAGGGTGAATTTGAAATTCTTTGGGGCCTAATTCATGCATATTTTCATCAATCCGTCTAGCATTGAAAAGCACTGACTACCTTCCAGGCCCCAAATTTGCCACTGGGGATGTCCTTAAGGAGCTTACAATCTAGCTGCAGAGGAGATTGTGGAGCGGGGGGAAGAATTGTAAGAGCAGCTGAAATTTGTTGACCATTAAACACTTGCCAGGCTAGAAGGAAGAGAGAAAACAGAGAGGGGACTGAATGGGTTGGGAGGAAGGAGGGGTAGGGTCAGGGGGTGGAGGGGCTATTAGAGGCCTTGAGCAGCCATGGGGAGAACCGGGGAGAAAAGGGGATTCTTTAGAAGAGGTGCCCTGATTTACAAACTGGGTCCCATTCAATATTCTTTAAGAGCCAAAAAGAAAGCTTTGAATGACGTGGGGTGTCGGACTGTTGTTTCTTTGAATGAAATGATGTGCTGAGCCTGAGCCCTGAGCGTGCTGCACAGGTTCTAGGAGGTTCCCATGTTAAATGCCAAGACTGTTTCTTTCTTTCTTTCTTTCTTTCTTTCTTTCTTTCTTTCTTTCTTTCTTTCTTTCTTTCTTTCTTTCTTTTAGTATATTTTATTGATTTTGTACAGAGAGGAAGGGAGAGAGATAGAGAGCCAGAAACATCAATGAGAGAGAGTCATCTATCAGCTGCCTCCTGCACACCCTCTACTGGGGATATGCCCGCAGCCAACGTACATGCCCTTGACCGGAATCGAACCTGGAACCCTTCAGTCCCCAAGCCGACGCTCTATCCATGGAGCCAAACTGGTTTCGGCCCAAGACTGTTTCTTAATGCTCTAGAACTTGTAAATCCCAAATGATTGCTGTTCTTCAGACAGGCCTAGTTGGAATCAAACTCAGATTTGAATCCTGGTGGATAACTTACTGCCTCACTCACTCACCTTGAGACATTTAATTCCTGGATGCCAGTCCCTCATCTATAAACCTGGGTGAGGGCAGGGGCCACTGGCTTCCATCTCACGGGCACCGTGAAGGCTAAATTGAATTAAGCGTGTGAAGTACCCAGCACAGTGCCTGCCATGGAGTAGGTGCTCAGTAAATATTTATAAAATAAAATAAAAAAAGGAATGGATGTCAGCAACCTCCCTGAACAGGTCAGGTTCTTCCCCATCCTCGAGCCTTTTACGGGATGACTGTTGCCTTCCTCTACTGTACAAAGTCCTGTTCACCATGCAAGGCCCAGTTCCACTGTCACTTCCTCCATGAAGCCTCCCCTGATACCCCAGTCCGTCAGACACACCCTCCTAGGGCTTCCACAGCCTGTGAGCACTTGTCTGTCACATCCCACCTCATGAAGCTCTGTAACCGACCTTCTACTGCAGCTTGTCTCCCCCACTGGCCAGGGCTGTGAGCTCCCTGAGGACAGCAGGCTCACCCCTTCTTCTTGGCCCATGTCCCAGCGTCCTGAACAGGGCGCAGCTCAGAGGAGGGACTCTCAATCGGGGCACCTTCCAGAGCCTAATGTTTCACAATCATCGCCAATGCTCATGCCCACTTTCACTTTACAGGTGGGGCAACTGACGTGCAGAGAAGCCCAGCGCCCAGTATTACACAGCTGGTGAGTAGCCAGGTTCCAGGAGGCAGGAAACAGCTTCCTCCAAAGCTGGTCCTTGCCCTTCCCCAGGTGCTTCCCAGTCTTTGCTGAGCACAGGAGAGAGTGATGGAGGGGAGGAGTGAGGAGGGGCGGGAGATGAGGTGGGGGAGAACCAGGAGCCTGTTGAACTCGGGTTGTGGGTCTTAGGGACACAGGGCTTCCTGATTGCACCCTGAGCTCACTTAGCCCCACCCACTCTCCAACTCCAGAAGAGGCCATTGGCCAGGCCTGTGGTCTAGGGTGCAGTTTGGGCCCTGCCACTGCCTGGGGCACAGTGTTCTAGGCTGAGAACGAAGACTGGACCAGCAGGTACCTGCAGCAGGTGTGGTGTGACCCGATTTAGATGCAATAAAGGACATGCAGGAAAGGGAGCCGGGAAAACCCAGTGCTGGGGCCCCGCCTCTCTTTAGTCATCATGCCTGAGGCAGGAATGCCTGCATCAGGGCTTCTGGGGACAAGAAGAGGGCCTCCCTCTCCCCCCTTGCCAGGGACTATTTGCTTCAGAAAGAGATTGGAAAGGGGTCAACTTGCCTGGTCCCTGTCTCTAGAGTGCTGCCTGGCGTCAGAGTCCCTGATGGCCACTTCCCGGTGGCCTTGGGTCAGTTATTTGGCTGGGCTCTGCCACTTGCATATTGTGTGACATTGGGCAAGTCACTTAACCTCTTTGTGCCTTGGCTTCTGCATCTGTAAAATGGGACCACGATGGTGCCCAGTTCCTAGGAAACTGAGAGGATATAGGAGAGAATGCCTGCTGAGTGAGGGGGCAGGAGCCGGGCGGATCCTGATGGGCCGAGGGCTTCTCTTCTCTGCCTTCTTCCATAGGCCCTCCCTTCCTGGGCCATTTGACCCCTGTGCAGGCTGCCAGGTCAGCAGAGCTTGGAAGATCCCTGGTTCTCTTCCAAAGTATCAGTAACCCTCTGATTATGCCCTTGGAGATGGAATCTGCCTCATCCTCTTTCACCCCCAGTCAATGTTGTCCAAGAGACAGTATGGCAGACTCCACCCTCCCCTGGAGACCTCTCACCCTCATCCTGTCCAGATCCCCCCAGATTGTACCCACAGAGTTGGGGGGCTGAATGGGCTCAGCCAGGCCTGGACCAGATGCAGACTGAGCCCACCAAGCAATTCTGGCTCATTTACTCTGATGCTCTGCCCTCTTACCTTGGGCTAGGGGTGCTCATCCTTTTCCCTGTCGCCGACCCTACTAGAAGTCCACGCTATTACGCCCCCACTGGGAGCCTGTTCGCCAAGGACCGTTCACTCACTGACACCTGTACCAGCACCCACATTAAAATGGGGGCAGGATCTCTGGATCCGATCTGATGGCCCAATTGTTCCAGGCTTCTAGAATCCTGAGGTTCTCACATTCTGGTTCCTCCTTCCAAAGCTCTTCCCCTTGGGCCCATATGAAGCTGACATAGCCGACAAATCCATGTTCCTAATGCCCCCTCACCCCATGCTCCAGCCAGTCAAGACCACTTGTTCTTTCTCCAGACAAGCCTAGCTTCCCTACTTCCATATCTCTTTTGATGCTGCTGGCTCTGCCAGAAATGCCACCCTGTCCCCAAAACCCCTCTCTGGAGGAGCACTTATCCGTCCTTCAAAGCCTAGCTCAAATGCCACCCACTCCTTGGAGCCTTCTCAGAGTCCCGTGCTAGGTACGATTGCCCCCGCTAGCACAGTTGGCAGCTCTTAGGTCAGCCATCTCATTATCCATGTGTGGTATGTCCATTCAACAGTATATGGGCCACCTACTGTGTGCCACTGCCAGACACTTGCTAGGCTGGGCCGCAGAGGTCAACAGATGGACAAGGACCCGGCCCTCAGGCCTTGTATTGGTCCTATTCCCCACCACCCAGCTAGGCTGTCTGCTCCTAGAACTCCAGACCAGAGCTCTGTTTCTCTGCTGTCTGATCCATAGCTGGTGCTTAACAATGAACTGAATGGATGAATGGCCTGGCCTCACTTGCTGGATGAATGGATGAGTGGGTGAATGG